ACCTTATTTATAATTTATAATTTAAAAATTTACTTATATAGCTAAAGTTAGTTAATTATAGTAAATTTAAAGACGCTTTATATAATAAGGCTATTAATCTTAGTAGCTACTAATTACTTAAATAGCTTACTAGGTGCTATAATAACGCTTTTTTTATATAATTAGATTATAAGGGTTTAATAGGCTTCTTTTTTTACTAAGAGGAAGGTAGTATAAGGTATATTAGTCTCTTATAGTAAAGTGTATCTTATAGGGATTTTCCTAGCTTATTAAGGTTATATAATAGTAAGATTATTAGCATATAGCTACTACCCTAAACTAGTTATAATAATAATAGTATCTTTAGTAAGCTTATTACTATAACTACTATTATTATTTAAGATAAATAGAGGATATTACTTAGCTAAGCCTTTTTCTTTATTATCTACTATATAGTATAGCTTAACTAATATAGATTAAAAAATATAAAGGCTATTAATATTAATAGTAAAGTCTTCTCTTTAAGTAGTAAGTAACTTATATAGGCTAGACTAACCTCCTTTCTTACGCTAGACGTAGACGTTACTGCCTAAGGGTAGATCTTTTGTTATAGAGGTATCTAGGCTGTTATAGGTAGCAAGAGCCTTATTAATTTGCTACGTTACGTTATATTTATAAAGATCTTTAGTTACTTTATAGATAGCTATTACGTATTAGATTATTTTAGGTAAAGGGGTAGAGTTAGCAGTTATATAGGGGTAGGCGCTAAATACTAATAAAGTAAGTATAAGGCTATTTAAGCTAGTAGTATTATTAACTACTTTAGTAGCGCTTTAAAGTGCTGCTTTATAGTTAATAAATAAGTATTTTTTTTAGATTATTTTATATACTTATTAGAGTATAGCGTAATATCTCTTAACCTTCTTAACGCTATAATACGCTTTAATAGGGATAATCTTAACTTTAACGCCTATTATGTAGGCTTTATATAAAAATTTAGTTAAGATAAAGTTCTGCCTTATGTTAGTAATAATCTAATCTAGAGGCCCTTAGTAGATATTAATCTAGTAGTAATAAAGTGCCTCTTATGTAGTTTTTACTAAAATATTATAAAGGAAGTAGGCTATATTAAAGGCAGTAGTAGTATTAATAATATAAAGTATAAGGTTACTGTTAAGGTATATAATATTAATAATAACTTTATAATTAAATAAATAGTTATTATATAAAGTAAATTAAAATTAAGAAGAAGCCTTCTTATAGATTTAGTAATAATAATAGTACTTTATTAAGTGTTTAATTACCTTTATTTTAACTTTATAGCTAGCTTTATAAAGTATCTTATATAAGTAGTAAATTAATAGGTGCCTAAATTAATAATAAAGGTAGTATAGCTTAACGTTAGTAAGGTAATAACTTATAAGGCTTTACTTAGGCAGGCTAAGTAGTATCTATAAGTAGCCTTATTTTTATATAACTAGCACTATAAGTTTACCTTATTAAAGAGTATTTATAAGGTTATTAAATTAAATTAATAGCTAATTTATATTAGCTAAGTAAAGTAAAAAAGGTGTGCTAGTAGGTATTATATAAAAGGTAATATAGCTAAAAAGAGTTTTTACTATAATAGTACCTTTTAAAGTAATAGTATTACTACTATTAAATCTAACTTTTACTTTACTTATAGCTATAGTGTTAATAGTTATAAATAGTTAGATTTATTATAGTGTAATAGCTTATAAATAGTCTGTAGTTAAGTAACTTACTACGCCTATATTTAGTAAAATACTTTAAAAGGTAGCTAATAAGTAATAATCTAATATAAAGGTGCTAGGTAACTTAGTAGAGGCGCTATTAGGGTTAATTTTTATTAATTAGTAATAGATAGCTTAGTTAGTAAGGTTAGTAGTAAGTGCCTTACTATCTACTTTAGCGCTTCTAAAGAATGTAGTTAAAGTATAAAATATACTATTATTTTATTCTTTATTATTACTAATAATAAAGTAGGCCCCTTAGAGATACTACTAAAGATCTTTATTATTATTACTATTTTTATCTTTTTTTTCCTATAGATAGGTGCCTTTATAGCTAATAAGGAAGGTGTTATATATAGTTAGTAAGGTATTTTTAATATAATAGTTACTTTTAAATTACTAGTACGCTTTATGTCTTTTATTAGTAGTATGCTTTATTAACTAGTAGCTAGGCTTATAGTAAATATAGTACTTTTTAGTATTATAGCTACTATTATTATTATTACTATTATAAAAATTACTACTACTATAGTTATTACTAAACTATTAATAACAGCCTTAGCCTTAGTAGGTATAGTCTACTTAATATTAATTATTAGGTAATAAAGGTAAGGATTTAGTAAGGTACTAGCTATAGTAAGGGCGCCTTATAGTAGTACTAATAGATAACTATAACTAGCTATATACTCTTTTTAATATTATAGCTAGAGCGTACAGGTAAAGGTTACACTTAGGAACTTTAGAGTAAGTATTTAGTAGCTAACTTCTTAGCACTTTATTATTTTAGTATAATAAAGAGAGAGCCTATTAGATAAGGGTAAGCTTTATAATAAGCTCCTTAAGGACTTAGATCTTAGTTATTATAAGATTATTATATATAACTTAAGGTAGTATTATTTCTTACTACTTAGATAAGTAGGTCTATGTTTATTCCTACGTTTTAAAGTAGTTATAAATATAGTTAACTATCTTATTAAAATCTTAGATACTATTACTATAGATATAGTTAATATAGAACTAAGATGCCTTACCTTTTAATATAATAAAAAAAGCAGGACTAAGTTAGTGTTATTTAATCTTAACCTTACTATAATTATTTTAAAAAATACTTAACTTAAGATTAAGAACGTTATATAACTTACTACTATACTTAGTTTTATTTATTAGTAGTTTTATAAGATTAGTTAGTTAATAGGGGTATAGTTATAAGGAAAAAATAAGGGTAAAGTTAGGCTTATATAGTAGCTAACGTTATTATAATTTATTATAGCCTTATAACTAAAATCTTTATATAGTGCTTTAAGGTAGTAGGTTAGTAGTAGGCTTATAGTTACTTAATAAGTTAAATAGTATATCTTACTAAGGATTTATTCTATTTATTATAATAGGCTAACTACCTAATTACTTACTATACTAGCTATAATAAGATTAATAAGTAGGGTAATAAGTAAGGTAAGGGGTTCTTAGATTATATAATAAGGTGTTAATAAATAAAGTGCCTATATTACTTCTAAGTACTAGGTTTAAGTTAGTAAGTGCCTAGTAGATTTTATCTTATTATAAAAGTAAAGTTAGGCCTTTTTACTCCTGCTTTAGCTAGTAATAATCTACTACTAATAAATAAGTTAGGGTAAATAAAGTTAGTTATCTTTATAAAGTAATATTAGCTACTATTTATAATAATATTAAAAAAGCAGTAAATAAAGCCTATTTAATTATTAACTTTTCCTTAAGTAAGATATACTAACTAGTAATATTATTAATAAATTTAAGGTTCTTTATCTATAAGTTAAAAATAGGCTGTTTATAGTAGGTAAAAGTAATATCTTCTTTAGTCTATATATAGAAATTAATATTAAGAAGGTCTACTAATTTAGGTATAATCCTTCTTTTTACTAGATTAAGAATAACTTTATTATTAATAAGGTAATTATAGAATATTAATAGTGCTTTAGTACTTATAGCGTTAAAGGTAGTAGTAGTCTAATTTATAAAATCTAACTAGAAGGCAGTAAGGAGGCAGTAGCTATAGAGGTTAGCGTCTAACTATATAGTAATTATATATATTATATATAATCTAACTTTTTAGGGGTCTAATTTATTAAGATTAAAGTTAATATAGTTACCTTACGTTATTAGATTAATATAGCAGATAAAGGCAGGTAGAAGAGGGAGAGGTTATAGGAGGTAGGATAGTAATAGTAGAGATAGTAAAGGATATTGTCACAGGACAATGACCGCTTGACCGAAGGGCGCCGCCTGAGACCAGGTGGCGACAGCTGCCTAACTATCTTAAGGTTAGCATAGTGTTTCAGGGAGTGGGGCATATTTAGCTGGCGATAGCCTCACGAATCGCAGGAGAATAGTTCTCCAAGATTCAGCTTCTGTGCAATACAAGACCTACGATCACCAATACTTCTTTATGATTTTAATAGTCTATTACAGATATAAAGGGGAATAGATATTTATTATTTGTTAGTTTAATAGCCCTGCTATTACTAGCAGTAGCTCTTTGTTTTTCCATTTTTTGTTTATTATTAATAAGAATTTAGTTAATATAGAGTAAGGGAGTAAGGAGGTAATAATAATAAAGGTTAAATTTGTAAAGGATTATTTACTAATAAGCTAGTTAATCCTTTCTACTTCTAGCAAAATAAACCTTACTAATCTATTTAATAGTAGTAATCTTATAATTTAATTACGTACTAATTAGTGTTAGTTTAATTACTATAAAGAGATATCCTAATATTATATAATAGATTATAATTTAGAATAGTTACTTGTTCTTGTTTTTTATAAAGTGTATTTAGACTATTAGGTAGTATAGTATATTAGTAGTGCAGTAGATACTGCTAAGGGAGGCAGTATGTTACGTAAATATTACGTAACCACCTCCCCTAGAGCATACCTACTATATACTAACAGTTAGTATTCTCTTACTAACATACAGTTAGGTAAAATTTGAGGGAGGAAAAAAACGGGAGCTTTATAAGAAAAAGGTATTAAGCCTTTGTATATATTTCCGATATTCCGGATCGCCTTTGACGGAGTCCTAGATCAGTCTTACAGCCTTGCGCTACTAAGAGGATAGCAGGGTGGAATTCAAGGATAGAGCCACATGGTATGCGAAAACATTGGAAAAACTACAGGAGAATCCTCCTTGGCTATATATAGCGCATCCGGAAGTCGTGTGGGCAACCAAGCAAGATGTGGGTTTGCGGATTGGGCATTCTGGCATTTGACTAGCTTCTTTTAAAGACATCAGACATGGAGACAAAGGAAATCCATAGCATCCAATTTCAACAAGCATTGGCTGCGCAGTTTGGCAGCGAGGCTTTGCTGGCTCTTCCCAATGGAACCATCATCGACTTGGCCGCTGGCTATGTGCCGCTTCTTGGACGGTTCACCTTCGAAGACAAGGCTGCCAAAGGGTTACGAAAGCGAAAGGCAGACGAAGAGTCGGAGCCTCCGATTTACTTCACCGCTCTGGAATTGGTGCGCGACAATCAATTCTTGCTTCTGGCAGGCCCAAGCGGCAGCGGTAAAACGACTTTTGCGAAGCATCTCTGCTTTCGCTTAGCGAGCGCGGACTTCCACCATACTCGGCCAGTGGTCCGGAATGATCTTGGCCATGTGCGAGAAGAGAAGTGGGATTCCGGACCGATTTTGCCTTACTACTTTACATTGAACGACCCGAATCACCCACAGACACTGGTGGACATCACTATTCCAAACATCATCCAGGCAGCCTCAACCGAGAAAATTGATTTGCTGTTTGCAATCGATGCAATCAATAGGGCGGGTGAAACTGCCCCACGCCTTTTGCAACAGCTCGTGTCACTATTTTGCGGACACAAGAACCATAGGCTCGTCTTGCTCGGGGTTCCAGACATCTGCGACCGTTGGGCTTTGCCGCCCAACATCGCCAGGCACAATTTGTTACCAATGTTGGAGCTTCACAGACGACAAGCCGTTGCGAGGCATCTAGGGCCCGCGCCACCGGAAGCACCGATCGCAACGGGCGTTGCTGCAAAGAACCCGGCCTTGTTTGCGCTTGCTCTACAGGCGAGACATTGTGGCGAGCAGGCCGAAGACCTCCTTGATTCATGGCTTTCGGTCACCTTTCCGCGACCCAGCCCCGTTCAAGAGCTCGCCGAAGCTGCATGGAACCGTATATGTCATGTTCAAGCCCCGCGAGAGACGGTTAAGCTTGGCTCAATCGCGTCAATCAACAACCCAGCGATAGACTGTACCGCTGTTCAGCACTTGCTAGCTGCTCGGCATCTGGCAGGTCTACCTTTACATGTCGCCGTTGAACTATTCCGCCTTCAACCTCAAGCTTACGCACCCGTCATAAAGAGCTGTCTGTTTCGCTTGGCTTCCTCTGGTTGCTCGGATGGCCTCGTTGAAGGTCTTCTTGACGGCTTGCCTACCCAAAGTCAACGTGGCGCCCTGCTTGTAGCCGATGTTGTTGGAAAAGCTCGTGGGTTCCAAGACAAGATTATCAATACGATGCTGGATATCATCACGCAAGGGACTTTGTCAGCAACCGATCGAGACAAAGCTGGCCGTATTCTTTCTCGGTTCGGCGGCCCACGAGACTTGACATCGCTTGCAGAAATCCCTTCAGGAAGTTTTGTCATGGGATCTCAAAGTCACCCGAACTCGCAGCCTCTAGGGGAGATATCTCTGGAAAGATTCCGCATTGGTGTATATCCCGTCGCTGTCAGAGATTGTTCTGCCTTTGTCCGAGAAACAGGCCGAGATTGGGTGAGCCGGGGCGGCGCAGACCCCGATAGACTGAATACACCAGCGACGGACCTCACATGGCACGACGCGAGAGGGTATTGCTCCTGGTTGACCCAGCATTGGCGTAAGATCGGCAAAATAGGCTCTCATGAGAAAGTCCGCCTTCCGACGGAACCGGAGTGGGAACGTGCAGCTAGAGGTGGCCAAACTGGAACCGGGAGTGAGGCGCTGGTTTACCCTTGGGGTACGACTTGGGAAGATGACGCGGCGAACAGCGAGGCAACAGATCTAAACGCGACATGCGCGGTTGGTCTATTTCCAAAAGGTCGCTCCCTTACGGCTGCTTTGACATGGCTGGTCAGGTCTGGGAATGGTGTTCGACCCTTTGGGGCGAGGACATGGCCACCCCGTCCTTCCGATACCCATGGCAAGACGACGACAGAGAAGCACCAGACGCACCTCATTACATCCGGCGCGTGCTGCGTGGAGGATGCTTCTCGAGTCCAGGGATCAAGGCCAACTGTACATATCGTGGCAGTCTGGAACCATCAGGATTTTGGCGCAGAAACGGCTTTCGGATCGTCGTTGCTCCGGTAGCTAGATGAGCCGAGGATCGTATGCAAAGGCGAGCGCTCCTGGTTCAAAAAAGAAAAGGAGGAAAAAAAAATCAATGTGACCAAAATGCCGGTGTTTGCCGGTGAGTCTACAGACAAGCTGATAATGCCCCCCCCTCGCCCCCCCCCCCCCCGCCCCCCTAACAACCCGAGAGTACCGTGCACGATAACCGATAGGGTTAACCTGACAGTGGAGTAGGTGATAGGGTTCTAACCAATGGATATGCACATATACGTCAGAAGGGTCCATAGACCCATAAAACACCAAGATTTTAGTTCATCTCGCTCCACATAATCTAGCAGTAAGTACGGATAGTGCTCCTAATAATCTAAAGTCTGAAGGTTAATCTTAGCTTTTTCTGACCTTTTCTTTAGGTAATCTAACACGGCTCCGCCGGGGAGGGTTAGAATAGTCTATCCCACCCTGCTTCCTCCGCTACGCTTTAGGTCGGGATGGGCCAACCTTTTGCCTCTGTTTTTTGCCTCTATTTCTACTTTTTCCCTCTATCTATATACCCTTATCTATTGTCAACTCAAGCCTGCACAGGCCAGCGCGCACGGTACTCTCGGGTTGTCAAGGGTGGGGGGGGCGCATTATCAGCTTGTCTGATCGCTCTTTGCCGGTGCGCTCTACCTCTGATTGTCCCGCTGTACTCCGTATTGAGTACCGGTAAAATGCCAGTGCAATTTGGTCGGCGGCCAGTGTCTAACCCAATCGGGAAGTTTTACTACATAGGAGCTAGAAATACCATATTCCATCACCCTAACTCTAACTAACCCAGACCCTAACCACCCTAACCACTAACTCTATGTATCTTCTATAGATATGTAGGCGGTTGGCTAGAGTTAGGGTGATGGAATATGATTATTTTATCTGTGTTGAGGATGTAGTAGTGGTGGTAGTGCCTTCCTAAATAGGCTTAACTCACTGGCCGCCGACCAAATTGCACTGGCATTTTACTGGTACTTGCTGCATTGGAACCATCCCAGACTGGTGTCGGAGTTCATTGGCATCGTGGGCCCGGGAACACCATCTTATTGGACCCGGATGGCGTCATTTTGATCATCAAGGGGCTCCTTACACGTTCACTTCACACCAGATGTCAATCTCGTGGCATAGTCTTATTGTCTGTTACTGTCTGGTCTAAGGTATCATTGCCATTCCTCGTCCTCGTCTCTTGATCAGCAAGCATCGACAACCATGCCCATCAACACTAACTTTGCCTTGCCAGAGGCAGCGAATGCCCTTGTCTTGCCGAAGGGCCCCACTGGGGCGCTCTTCATCACGTTCACCACATCTGACCACCCAGACACTGGGGAGTCATGGTGTCCTGACGTAAGGGCTGCTTTACCACACATCAAAGCTGCCTTCTCGGCGGACAGTGCACCAGAGATGGCTTTCGTCGAGGTCTGACAGAGAGGCCAGAGTAAGTAGCCGACCTCATACCCGCCAAGTGGGCATTTGCTGATGGTAGCTTCAAAGATGGAAAGTCGCTACCAATGTTTTCCGAACCAAGTGGAACGTGCACAATGTGCCGACCATTGTGCGTTATGAGCGCCTTGACGGTGAAATCAAAGAGACAGGTCTCTTAGTAGAAGCCGAGATTCTTGATGAGAAACGCCTCAAGGAACTCATCGGCCAGGATTAAGTGCAAAATGGCCATGCACCGGGTGGCGGCATTGAAGCCTTTCGGAAGAGAAACCCCCCCGTCATCCACCACGCTCGGGTTTTCAGTGTCTTAGGCAGCAGCAGCATGCAATGTGTCACCATTTCAATGCTTGTTCTGAAATATCACATATTTCGGGCTGTCTAGCACCGTTTTGTACTAGCTTAGCCAAGCCAATCTCATCCGCAATGGTTCCTGTCTCTTAGTGCCGAAATTCAGGGGCTCAACAGATCCTTCGGAAAAATGGGAAAAGGAAAAATGGGAAAAGGAAAAACAACAGTAGTTCTTCTGGTCCCGCTGCCTGTGGCTCTGCGTATTTCATATTGGATTCTCCATGAATCCGGTGACGTCTCCCGACATTGCATCTCATCACTCAACCTGCCGGAATTGATCCTGTATTCAAATCTCTCGTTTAAACCAGCTGGGCACATTCTGCTTTGAGACTACAGGACTCCTACTACATCATGATCTCGATCACTCTCCTGGGCCCATTGGGCGTCTTGCTAGCCGGTGCGTCCAGCGCCGTGGCGTTCGACAGAATTAGCATTCAGTCTACCGTCAAGGCCGACACTGAGGTCGAAGTCACGATCCGCAACGACATCGCCGACGGAGCCAGCTCTTTCGACGCCGGCTTCACCAACTACAACGTCTACCTTGCAACGACCCCGCCGGGCTGGGGTACCGGTCCAGTGTGCCTCTTGGCCAACGGGACCAAGATCGACGTCACCTCCGTCAAGGTCAAGATCCCTGCCGACGCCGTTCCCGACTCTGCCGATCTCATGATAACCACGATGGAGTGGAACTCGGATCCTACCAAGGACGGCCCATCGGGTTTCGAGTACAGCAATGAGTTCACCTTTTCCGGGGGGGCAGGGGAATGGAGCAAGACCGAGCTGGCTGGCCATTCGCTGGGCGAAATGGATATGCTCCCGTGTTCTGCCTACGCGTGCGCCCGCAAGTGCAACGACCAGTACTTTGAGGAGAGGGACACGACGAGCGATGACCTCAACGTCTACAAGAACACGTACGAATGCGTGGCTGCGTGCCCGGGCACCACCTTCCCTTCATGGGACTCCGTCATCAACGACGTCGGCGGCTCCGGCGGTGATCCGTCGGGAACTGCCTCGGTGCCTGCTGCATCCGCGACGGCTTCGACGACTACGGCTGCTCCATCTTCGTCGAATCCCGCATCCTCCTCGCAATCCGGTAGCTCGCCTTCTGAGACTCCCAATGCGGGCTCTCGATTGGCCGCGGAGACGTTGGGTCTCACGGCGTTTGGTCTAGCTACATTCTATGGTCTTTTCTAGTTAAAGCTTGGGCGAATGCGTATGCATACGGGCTCATCGAGCCTTTGAAAATAAGATAATGACGTAATTATCAGCAGCGATTTTATTTTGCTCCTCTCTTCGTACGGACTACTATTGTCTCGTACAGTACCGTGCTATATCTATTCTTGTATACTATGAGCCGGCAAAAGCGTGTTCCGTAACTGGGCCCGAGAATTCTTCTTTTACTTAATAGCCCTCGTGGGCAAGCCAAAGTAAGGAGCCCGGTCTAATGGCGAAGACGCTTGGTTTCGTAGATGAGCTGGTTACTTTGCTAGGAATATGAGACAGCCAAGAGGCCCTGTCTGACACAAAGTCGAACATAAGAGTTCGCGCCCCATTGGACCCCGACTACAAGTGCCACTGTCGAGCTTTGCAGTCCTTCTCCGTCGTAGGGTAACATATGGATTTCGAAGATTTGCTTCAGATGCTTTGGTAGATAGATGCTAAAAGATACTATCATCCAACCGCGCAGTCTTACTCCTGCGTTGTACCCACAACTTGAATATTAAGGGTTGAATCGCCATCCGAGTGGTCTTTAACCAAGCAAGAAACTAGGCTAACAGGCAGAACCATGCAAAAGACAGCGCGAGTTCGGGCGCATTACCGCTTTCAATACCAAGACCTACATCAAAGTGAATGGAGGCCCTTCATGTGCAAGCAACCCGCTGATGAAGATGGGGATCCATATGTATTGGTAGTACCCCAGTGCGGAAAGGTGGCCATGCTTTTAAAACTAACTTAGGAATATTGACGAAGTGATGTCGCCCTGTGGCATAACGTATCACAAGGTATTTACTACTACACAACCCAAGCTTCAAGTATACAAAACACTCAATACTGGCCCAAGACCTCCATTGGAGTGGTAAACGTGGCCCAGTCATCCGAGTGCGAGGGGTTCCCGAAAGGCCTCAGAGCGGCGTATCTCAGTCTGTGAGGGAGCATTGTTAGTTGTAGGTTCCGTTTTACCGACATTTGAGTTCTTCCGGAGATCAGGATGACGTACGTGTAGTTGCCAATAGCAATTTGACTGCCGTTCGCCAGCTTTCCAAACCACCAGTTCTGATAGTTGGAGTTGCTTCTCCCTTGGTTAACTTTTGGATAGGACAACGTTTCATCGGGGTCCCATCTGCTCTGGTCGAAGAATGGCGTCTGTCCCGAACCGATCCAGTAGGCACCGGATCCGACGTAGCCACCCTCGCCGGCGACCGGCGGGTATACCCATTGCCTCTCGGTCCATCCCGCTTCGAAGATCTGCAGATACAATCAGTACCACGCGTTGTGGGCTACGGGCAAAACCTACATCCCATCTGAGTTCTCGTGTGCCCCAGATCATGTTATGGTAAACTTTGGGAAAGTCTTGGGAATCGAGGCCAAGATTGAAGGTGAAGCTTTTCACAATGAGGGTCAGCCGCTGCGATAAGGAACTCGCCACTTCACAAAGGTTGTATCACTTACGAAGTCTTGCCAGTGACTACAGGAGCACCACTCTCGATGTAAGGAAAGCCGTTACGGAACAGAGGGGTGAGTTCTTTTTTCAGATCGGCCGCGACACCTGTGCTATGTTAATTCTGAAAGAGAAATTTTACCAGAGGCCATATGATCGCGAACTTACCCGCGTACGGCACAGAGAGATTTTCGCCGTTGTCTCCTGAAATAATGATTCGACCGCTGTAGAGCGGAAGCCCTGCGGCTTTCCATCCAAGTGTCTCCGGGTTGTTGAAGTCGATACTGCAACTTGGGGTCAGTGGTTATGACAGCATATTGCAGGTCAACTGCACCAAACTCACGAGACGGTCTTGGTTTCGCCGGGCTTCAAGACGAATTCGCGAGGCAGGCCGACCTCCACCGCCAACTTCTGCGGAACCAAATCGTCGCGGAGCTTTATCTGTCTGTCCTGGGCGGCGTCATTCGAGAACAACGTCTCGACCCCGTAGACGTCTTGTGCCGAGAGCCGGTAGCTGACGTCCTCAGCGCCCCCGTTCTTGACAGTGATGTCGTGATACCTGTTGAAGTGGCGGGTGTCATTCAGCGCGATTGGCTCGAAGTCCAATGTCGTGTTGGAATAAAGCAGCTTGAACGCGTCCACCAGACCGTTACCCACCTGCGGCACTGCTGCGTACAGCTCAGTATACCCGTCTTGGTGGTACCTAAGCGGGAGAGCGCTGGCGATTATCTGCTTCCTAAGAGCCAAAGCAAAGCCCTTGCCGTGGACCTGGCGTCCGCCGTGGGCGGCGATGTACAGGGCGGCCACGCCGGCAACGTAGGGGCAGGACATGGAGGTCCCGCTCATTGTGATCCAGCGGTTGTCTAGATATGTGCTGTAGATGGAGCCACCGGGAGCCGCTACATCGGGCTTGACGCTGAGGTCGTTGAGGAGGCCCCAGGACGTGAAAGGGGAGGCTCGGGTCGTTTCAACGGTTGGCACATCGGCGGAAGCGATGGCGAGCACATTCTTGCCAGACGACCCGCTGCTGGAGTAGAAGGGGCCTTGGGAGCCGGAGTTGGCGGCTGAAATAGTAACGACAACTCCTTGCTCGACCAGTCTGGAGGCAACCAGCGCCCAGGCTTCCTCGGCCCAGCCACTTGAGCCCCCTATGCTACAGGTGATAATGTCCATCTGTGGTTCATGTCAGAAATGGGACTCGGAGGCTGGCCAGCAATCAAGCTGGCGAAAGACTTCGTTCTCATGTTGAGAGGTACTCACTCCATCATCATACGCTGTCAAGAAAGCTTCGATCAGCGTCGCGGAATCTGTCGAGCCCTGAGACCCAAAGTCAGCAAACCCTGTGTACCATAGATATTTGCCTGATGCTCTTGCTACAGATGGAGAGACGGAGAGATATCCGTACCTGTCTGCTCATGACCTTGTAGGCGAACAGTTTTGATTCAGGCGCTACGCCCGTGAAACTGCACGCACGCACGCCCCCCGTCAGCGAGAGGGCTTCCCAGGTTAAGCTGCAATCTCGTAGACCTACTTGCCTGTCTTCCCAGCAACAATACCGGCGACATGAGTGCCGTGGCCCACCATATCCACAGGATCAGCATCCGGCTCCTTGTCATATCCGACAGCAGGCCAAACTAAGAGATCAAATGAGCTTCGAGATATCGAGAGGCGACGTGAATAAGGGGGGGGAAGGGTGCTAGCTTACGTTGATCTCCGACGAAGTCGTATCCGCCAGCAACCTTGAAGCCGTCCCCGAAGCCCCCGCCAAGCTGTGCAACAGTCAGCTACCGACCAGACCGAGACAAAGACAGGGTGGGCGAGCGTTGAGAGAGAGAGAGAGGTTGTCCGACTTACGGCGTAGTGGTTGTACCAGATACCGGTGTCAACGACACCGATCTTGACACCGTCGCCGAGAATGCCCTGGTCGTGTAACTTGCTCACGCCCGTGACGGTGTGCACGGCAGAGGGGGCGGCCTGGAGGTCGGCGTCGACCGGAGCAGAGGGCTCGAGGTAGACGGGGACATTGGGCCAGACGCCGACGACGTCCGGCAGGCCGAGCAGGTCGTCGAGGTCAAGGTCGGCGGTCTCGACGCTGGCGCCGTTGAAGACTTCGCTGTCAAAGCCCCGCACCACCTTGACGCCGTCCGTCGAAGCGAGAGAGCTCCGCTTGCCGATCGTACCCTGGATTTTGATTGTTCAGCCTGGGCGGATGGTAGAGGGGAGGGGGGGTTGCTCACGACTGCATATTCGACAATGTAGCTCTTTGCGAAACGGACCGCGGACTCGTCCAGGTTGACGTCTTGCTGGGCGGCGGTCGCCCCAGCGAGGGAGACAACAACTGCGAAGTCCCACGCTCTCATCTTTGTATCTGCAAAACGAAGACTTCGCGATGCGAGAAGAACAGCGTTTCAAACAGCGCGCCGAGGGAGCTCCTCTCTTATATCAGTCCTCACGACCCGGGACCAGAAGCATCACACGATGCGCCCCGCCCCTTGCCTCATTCCGAATCACACATCACAAACAGCCCATGTTATCGCCTACCAAATCGCACAGGAAACATGGTGTTTCGGCTGATCTGGGCTGACCTGCCGTATTCAGCGAGGCCGATCGGCCAAGGCATGCATGCCAATCCTCGAGCAACAGGAGAAAACAACACGGTCGAATTCAGGAGAACGATCGCCCTTCTTCTCGACCGCACAAGCTTATCTGACCAGACCAATAGAGCACGGGAACAGGTGGCCTTGGCTTGCTTGTCCGCGCCGTGGTCGGAGCAGGTTCAATCTATTAATCTCGTATTGCTGTCAGCACGTAATAGCCGGATAGCCCTGTAGTGTTGCATCGCAGGGCGGTTAGATGCGCCAAGACTCTGGCTGACCTTCCGGGTTTGGCATGCGACGGTTCCACATCCCGAATGGTTCTGTTGTGCTCTCGGCAGTTATGGAGGCTTCGGATGGCTGGGAAAGGCTCATGTCGATTAGTTGTCACTCGCCGGCAACTGCATCTAATAATAGTATTATTAATAGGCTATCCGGCTCCCCAAAGATCTCTTACAGAATCATGCGCAGAATGACTAACGCCGTGATACATGAACAGATGAATGAATTGGGAATAGTGTAGTATTTCAGTTGGTTCATCTAGTCCCCCAACGGCACTTACTCTTTGCCTTTTTACGGCGGCTCAAGTGAGATGATTCCGCATCTCTAGACGCCCTTAGCTGGCCGTCGCTTCTAGGAGCAGCGTCACCGGTAGTAATTCCTACCCAACCCACAATCCGAATGGTGCACCAGACCTACGTACCTCTGGGCTTATTCTCGGCCTGTCACATCAAAACATGACTGTCAAGATTCCACAAAATGTCTCCTAGTGTTGTTTTCCAGTTCAACTCACCAGCTCCACCGTTGCTCTAAACCCAAAACCGGCGCCATGATTCGTTGACGTAATCAACCGACCCACAAAATAGTTTCTCTGTTTACTCAGCTCAACTCCCGTCGTCACCAACTCATTCCCACCTCTCCACCTCATATATAACCACTCCAGACGTTCGTGCCCCCCCCCCCCCCCCCCCTCTCCGATCTCAAACAGCGACTAACCCTTCTTGATCCAGATGGAGCAATTCGGCCTCGCGGCAGCCCATTCGGGCGCAATCAACCACATCCACGCCGTCCACTTCGGGCCGGCCGCCCTCGACATCGCCAGGGAGGCGCGGCTGGCCGTGACCGTCGTCGTCGTCGGCTGGGTCGCCGTCACGGGCATTCGCGCGCTTTCCGATCGCGGGAAGCATTAAATGGGAGCACCCGGGCGGTCGGCCATGTCTAGTCTAGTCTATCCCGCACAGGGAAGCTAGGTCAGCGGTCAGCGAGCTGCGGCTGCAAACTGGCTGGCTCTTGAGCGCAGAGAAGGCGGCTGTCTGCAGGAGTTGCGTGACGTTGCGCTCTGCTCAAGCACGCAAGAAACTTCTTTTGGGACAGCTCGAGGGCTATCCAGGCCTGCTGTCAAGATCTTGGTGTATGGGGGCCGGGCACGTTACACATTTTGCTCGCAGGGATTATTGCGAAAAGCGCAACGTGGCGCTTGATAAGCCCTGTATCACCATCCGAATAACCTTATCTAACATACAGTCCTGTTTCTGCTCACGACATGGAAACTCAAAGTCATCATGGACAATTGACAGGCGGTTTGCATCTGTGTAAAATGTTGGAAAGGTTGTAATTACAAGTACCTAGAGCGACTTGCATATGTAAAACAGAATACCACGCATCGTTACTCGTAAAATATTGTCATCTCGTCTCATCCACTCGTCCTCCCGTCGAGGCCGTGTTCCCATTCATTCATTATCGTTCCCATCCGTAAAACCCATTACCTTTGGGTTATCCTTTTCCCTTTCCTTCCGTGTATCCATTCGAGAATATTGGAGCCAGCCAATATTCTTTCCAAACGACACAAGCCCCTTTCTTTCTTTTCAAACCAAGGGCCTAGAGAAGGTAGCACGAGAAGCTCAGCAAGCACCGTAGCGCACACCCCTCTTGCCCAACTCCTTCCTGCCAACGGGGTCCTCGGGCATGATCCACCCCCTCGCCCTCTTGGCCTCTCGCTTCTCCGCCAGCTGCGGCTTGGGCATCCAGTCGTCCCTGGGCAGCGCCTTGCGCCTGGTGCCCTCGGCGGGCGCGCCAATCTCTGCCTTCCAGTGCGCGACGCGGCCCCCCTGCGGCGCGTCGTCACCGGCCATCATGCAGAGGCCCCAGAGTGCGAGACACGCCGTCATCGGGATCTCGCCAACCTCGCAGTCGGCGTCGTCGGCAGCAGCGCCTAGCTGCACGGAGGTGACCTCGAGAAAGCCAAAGTTAGGGACCGTCTCGGGCCCGTTGCGGACGATGACAAGCTCGATCTCGGTCAGGATGAAGCCATAGCGGCACGAGTGCTCGCGCATGGCATGGTGAAGGGCGGCGAGGCCGCGGAGGTACTCAACGCGCTTGATGTTGCCCTCAACGCGCATGCCCGTGTTAAAACGATCGAAGGAGCGGACGAGACCGACAACGCGGGCGGTGGGCTTGCCGCCAAAGATCTGGGCCGCCGAGGCGGGTTCCCCCGCAGGGGTGGCGGTGAAGAGGAGGTCGGAGCATTTGGAGCTGTTGGCGGGAGCGGCAGGGACGGAGAGCTGCATGGGCCGGTTGGAAGAGATGGCGAGGGCGGCGTTGAGCTTGGGAAGGTAGTGCGAGGCGTAGATGCTGTGCAGGGCTGCCTCGGTCTCCGGATGACGTGCCGTCTGTGCCGGGGTGGGAAGAAGAGGCGCCGGAACGGGGCAGTTGAGGAGAGCAGCAGCGCCGGAGAGAGAGAGAATGGAGGAGACGTTGAAAGTGGTCCAGGGGCGAATTTGACGAACGTCCCACCAAAAGTGTTTAGTGTTGGGGTCCCGCAGAGGGAAGGAGATGGTGCGGACCAACGAAGGAGCCGGGTTGGACTCGGTGAGATAGGTCAGAAGCGTCGTGCTGGGAGTTGGGTCCGGGGTGGCCGTGGTGGATAAGCTAAGGGGAGAAGGCGCGCGCGGGGTGTAGGAAGGATACATGTATGCCTCCGCGGTAGGTTGCGGTGTAGCAGAGGGAACGTATGAGGGCATCTGCCGGTAGGTCGGGAAGCCGAACTTCTCGAGAGCAGAGCCGTCGAGGCTGCAAGTGGATTCGCGGCGGGACTGCATGTCATCGGCGAAGATGACGGGCGAGCAGAGCAGGGACGAGGTGGACTGCTCCTCGGGCTGGCTACAGAAGGAGGAAGGCATGTTCCATGTGATGGTCTCCGGGTTGGTGAAGCTGCGGGAGTGAGCCGGGCGGAAGACAGCATTGGTGGCGGGGGCGGAGGGTGTAGCCCGGCGGGGAGTCGGGGCACGGGACTTGGGCGAGGTCTTGATGCGCTTGGGGGGCGACTCAATAGCCTGATCCTGGGAGCGGATCTTGGGGAGCAGGAGGGGACCATGTTGGCGGATGGGAGGCGAGGCCCGGGAGGGCGTGGTCATGCGGGTGCTCACCGAATCCGGGGTGGACTCGGCAGCGGAGACGAAGGAGTAGGCGGAGCCATTGGAGCGGCTACGGCTATGGCCCGGGTTGTGTTGGTAGGGCAGGTCGAGGAGAGAAGGGTCGAAGGAGAAGCTTGGCGGCGTTGACGGCTCGCACGAGGGGAAGATGAAGTCGAAAGACATGTCCGCTGCCAGACTGAGGGGTTTTGTGTGAGCAGGGGTGTAAGTGAGGCGAGTAGCAGAGGGGATCTCATACGTGGTCATGTTGACTGCGAGGCGGCTGTGTCTCAGAAGACACGATTATGGGATTATGGGAGGTGTTTCGCGGGCGAGGAAGGAGGCCAGCTCCAGAGACTTGGGTGTTTGAGATTTTTGTGGGCGGGTGAGGTGTGAAAGGCAGACGAGGTGCTGTGAAGCAGGGACAGGTTGGCCGCGTTCAACGAGACCAGTGTGCCGAGATCTAGGTGTATAACTTTTGTTTTGGATTCCAGAATATGCAAGCAATAGCAAATAGACAAACAGGGAGACAACGAGATAAGGAGGAGAGTGGGAAGGGAGGAGACGAGGGGACGAGATGAGGATGGAGAGAAGAGGGCAAACAGAAGGGGACAGGAGAGGCGGGAGGGGAGGACATCTTTATCCTCGCATCTGAAGCTCGCAGCCCAATGGATGTGGTGGTGGTGATGCGGCGCGCGACTGACGGCCATGTAAGAGGGCATGTGTGGGTGACCGCCGCCGCGGCCCTCGCAACCCCAGGCTAGCCTAGCTAGCCTTGCTTGGGACTGACCGTAACGTCGTCGGGTCGAGGGTATGGGTCTCTGCATCTGCACATGCATGGGTACCGGAGGGTACAACGCAGCGGTGGGTTTGACTGCGCGCATACGGCTTGGATGGAGGTGGTCCTGGGGGTGGTCCCTTGGACAGTTTGAAGGCCAAGACAACGAGGGCTGACTGACCAAGAGGAGAATGAGACGGAGTACATGATACCAACGTAGAGACAAAGAAGAGAGAGAGAGAGAGAGAAAGGGCACAGTCGTCTGACACCCCCGGCCGGCCACGAACGACACAGGGCAGGGAAAACAAGATGGAATGGAGCTACTGCAAAGGAAAAAGAGACTTGGTGATGGATGGATGCATCATTCTGTAAAGCAGAGGTCCAAGTCTGGCCACCGGGCCGCTGAGAGAGAGCAAAATGTGAAACACGGGGGAAAAGTGTCTAGATGGTTCCCACTTAGAGGTACACGCACGGCGTATGCATGCTGCAGCAGAAGAAGTCGAACCTGTTGTCGGGTCGTTCGTTCGTTTGTTCCTTCCTTCCTTCGTGAGTGGACGATTGAGCAAGAGCCATATGGATGCTCTTCTGCTCTTTCCCAGTCTGGCCAGAGGAAAGAAGCACGGCCGGGGGGTGGGAAGGAGTCGTCGGTGTGGACCCTCTGGGGCGAAGCCTGTCGTCGGCGCTCGCTTGTTCTACACACCGTGTTGTTCACCACTATCTGGCAGCGAGATACAGTGTGCATATTGAATCTGGAGACAGTGCGGCGTCGACCACTCACCGTCTACGACAGCTGTCTTGCATCAACCGCCCTTTGCAGTTTCCACAAATCCCACCAAAACCACCCTTGCAGGGCGTCTATGACTCATTTTTAGACACATGGCAGTTACGTTAGGTAGTTTAGCTCGCCTTCCCTAGTCTACATTAGCTTTCTTCCTTCCTTGGCTTCCCTTCCTAGTCTGTCATCCTTACCCCCCCCCTCCCCCCCACATCGTGTGGTGGGACGAACGACTAACGACGGACGATACAGAGTACAAACATCAACAACCCCAAAAGATGCGCCTCGATGTTGGAGACGGACGCGCCTCGTGCCCCCCCGCGCGCCCGTGTGTGTGGTGATCATTCGACGCGATGTCATGCGTCGCCGTGACATACGATGCGATGTGATGCCATGCCGTGCCATGCCATGCGCCATCCTCGGTCGCGCTCTGCGTCGCGTCCGACGGACGGGGAGGAGCGACGCTCGCGACTTGCCCGCGAGGGCATTCCCAACTCGGTCTCCCCCTCTCCCCCGAGAGCTTGCCAACACACCTCGCAGTGCAGCCAAACCATCATGTCCTTATCTCGATTTCCCCCGTGAAACGTACGCTCGCCTCACTTGGATCGTCGTCACCTGCCCGAGATTGACCGTCGTCTAAGCCCCAACCCTACCTAGGTAGGTACCATAGATAGGTATGGTACATGCCTGGTAGCATCGTAATAAAACCAGCCGAGCGGCAACTTAGATTACCGGCGGCTGTCGCTTCATGCTGCCTCTCCCACTGAGACGCCTCAGATCGGGTCTCCCACTCTGGGTGCCACCATGCCGGCGCCAAACATGCTCCCATACTCGTGCGCCGAGCCGAAATTGCACTGTGCGAGAAAAGCAATGCCCCTCCTCGCCCTCCCCACTGAAACAGCCGCTCGCTCGGCTGTCTTAACCGCCCGGGCGGCTACGGGTTATGTGTACACGAGGCTCTTCCCTCTCCTCCTTCCCGATTCCGGACGGCGCTTACAGCCAGCCCTTCCCCGCTCCACCCCCTTCATGGCAGACACTGTGACACCGGATGATGGAAGATCGGGCGGGAAAGGGCCTTGTAAACAGGCTTCAGCAGGGAGGCAGCCAGCCGTCTGCTGACTGCCAGTCTCACCATCGAACAAGACTCGCCCTCACAAGGATCCGTACGACTGACCTAAGCCCTCCCAACGGCCCCGAAGTTGGGCCCCCTCGATGCTGAAAATGACGATGGAAGCTGATGATCCCGCCCTGCTTACGTGCCTACGGGGCCCTGAGCCTCTTTTTTCGCGCCGCGCACGCCTCGGTGCTTCCTACGCACCGAAAAAGCCTAAGCCTCACTGCAAGGCCACCGCCCCGCGACGTGGAATAAACAATGGACTCGTCTCGAATGCGTGAATGATGCGAATATTGCACACCCAATTGTGCCTTCTTCTCACTGGAAGGGGTGCCGAGGCTGATAGTCGTCTGGCTGTTCCCCTTCTCCGTGGTTCGTAAATCCCAAGTTGCCTCTGGGGGTAGCAGCTACGGCCTTTACTCGGCCATCTCTTCCATCTCGGCCGATGTAGCACGACTCTCGTCCCCCCCAGACACAAAGGCTATCGAACGAGTGGCACTTGCACAGCCGCACAACCAGAGCGCTTAAACCATCCTCGCTTCTCCTCCTTCCTTTTCTTGTTCCTCTCTCCTTCCCTCAAGCGCCACACCAGACCAGTCAGCATCCAAATGTCCCCCACCCATCCTTCCCCCCCCCTCCCCCGTCCATTCCTTCCCTGCTCGCTCGTCTGTCCCTTCCCGCTCCCGCGTGGCCCGTGCTTCCGCACACGTCTTCAATAGTCCGTGCGTACCTACCTTCTCTCCCCTTCCCTCTTCTAATTGGATGTTCATCACGCGCCATCATCCCACCCAATCTTGACGCGCCGCAGATCGTTCAACCTGCCAAACCACGACCCTTCCGTCCAATCGGGTCCCTGGTGCACCTCCAAACCCGTGTCTCGACCGCTTCATTGGCCCAGCCGTCCTCCCGGGATGTTTCACGACCGCCTTTTTGTTTCTTCGATATCCATGGCGGGAAACGGGGGGGGAGACCACCCCAACCCTTTTGTCGTCGTTGTCGTTGTCGTCGTCTACTATGTATGTACGGAGTACTCCTAAGCCTAGCTCGGCAAATGCTGTCCGGACCCGGAAAACTCTAGCCTTGGTCCTGTCCATGCATGATGAACACACCCCGTCCTCTTGGCTGCCCGCAGGGAAGGGTGAGTCACATCTTTTGCATGTCCCATCAGCCGGTGAGCCACCTTGTTTAGCCGAGCCCATCCCAGAAGATGCCACGACGGCAGTCCCTCATCGGAGCCTGCCCGGGAAAGTCGGGGAGGCTGGCTTTGAAAGGACGGGCACTCTGCGTAATGGCATCACCGAAGGTGGCCGGGGGGGGGGGTTGTTTTTTGCGTTGTTGTTTTTTACCTCTGCTTTCCGGCCCACATACAGCCAGGCATTAATTGCATGGGGGAGAAAGGGACAGGGAACACAGGCAAAACTCGGACTGAAGTCTACCTAGGTATCCTTATGTATCCATTCGTCTAAAAGGGTAAATCAGGTCGTCCTTGTCTCGGGATATCCTCTGTCCCAACTCAAAGCAAGATATAAGGACCAAAAAAAAAGGCCGTCTAGTCCACTCTTCCCGCACGCCCGGGACGCCAAAAGGGTATCCGTCAAAAAAGTGAAGAGGTCTCTCTCTGCTTGCTAATACATAAATGAAAAGGGGTCAAGTGAAGAGAGGAAGGAGAAAGCAGAGACTGAGAGTGACTCGGCTCTCTTTCTCTCTTTCAAGGTGTGCTTGTGCCTCATGCAGGTGAGGTGGTTTCCCCCCCCTCACTCGTCCTCCCCATACCACACACACATTGCTCTCTACCTGCATTCATCCAGTCTGTTGCGACGTATACGTCTGACGGACTGATCGCCCCGTCTCGCCGCCGCCGCCGTCCACTCACAACCAACCGCTGGCCGAGACGCGTCGTATTTTCCATACCACGCGTCTCGTCTATGGTGTTGAGAAAAACCCCCCGCCCCATCCATGAGATCCGGTCCGTCCCAGGTAGACGGGCTGTCGTCAACGCACAAAGCATGGTAGTGCAGGGTCTAGAGGCCCGCTCCATTCGCCACCTCACTGCCCACTCTGGAGCTCGCACCGCTAGCTCCCTCGCCCGCATCCGTCCCCGTCCTCTCACGAGTCGATTGACTCATACCCGATGGCCCTGAAACGTTTGCCAGAGAGGCGGAAGCCCTCTCGAGTTCCGCCTTGCCCTCTCGCAGCCTCCGCAGCGCCCGCATCATCCCATCCAGCCGGAGTCGTTCTTGAACCACCATGCCCTTGGCAAAGTCTTTGATCGCCCGCCGCCCCATCTTCTCGTGCAGGTCTTGCCACCCGGCCAGCTCCCCGGCTACCACCTGCTGCGAGTAACGAAGTTCTCGGCCGAGGTCGTCCACCTGCTCTTGCGACTGGCGCGCCTTCTCCTCCCTCTCTTCGTTGAGGCGCTGTCGCGTGTCGTCCAGTAGACCGAGCGGCCACCGTGTCGACCGCGTCAGCGAGTTGTAACTCCTCTCCGCCGACTTGCGTGCAGCTGATATCTGCGCAATTTGGGCAGGTGGCCGCGAGAGTGCCGACAGGAGGGCCTGGATCGTCGATTGCGACGCCAAGAATGTCGAGTGGAAGATGCCGTAAGGATTTGATTGCATTGGCGCAATGGTACGGACATACGAATCGAGCGCTGTGATGTACGCCGGTGGCAGAAATGGCAGCGTCGATACTGCGCGGTACAGAAGAGCCGATGCATCGTGGAGGTCTACCTTGGTCAGTGGGGTTCTGTGGCTGTCAAATCAGGCGAATCAAGACTTACCTGACGCGACAACGGAGATCGAGTTGACTCTCCTAGCCACGCTCTTGGTTGAGTAGTTGACGCTCCGCACCATCTCTCTTGCATGGTCCACAAACTGCTCGACCTCGCGCACATCCCGCACAGGCGCGTACTCTTCCCGAACCTTCTCAGCTCGAGTCTCGGCTTTCAGCTTACTCCTTTGCTCCATCATACCGAGCTGGATGTCGGGCACCAGGAAGAATTCCCAAAGCATCTCATGCGTCGCAAACGTCGGGTGGTTGAGCATAATCTTGAGAAACCAGTCGACACGAGTCTGGATATCCCTCAGCACCGCCCTCGAAGGCTTTGAAGGTATCTGGAACGGCGACCGCACACCTGCGACTGCCGGAATCCACGACGCCGGGTTCTCTAGTGCAAGCAGGTTGCCAAGATTCTCGAAATCCGAGAGGTTTCGGCGACTCGTGGTCACGGTGTAGCTCAAATGGTCGGCCGGGGCGGCCGATTTCAGGACCAAGCGAATGGTTGCATCTTCCACAAAAAAGGCTCTTACGACACCGGTGATGCGCGCATCCGCACCAGGGCGCATGCTGAAGAGGGCCAGGTCGTCAATCTTGTTTCGGATGTCATCATCCTTGGCCAGTTCGACGGCCGTCAGGCTTCGGAGCTCTCGGGCCGCAACATCGACGCGTGTATCCACAAACAACGTCCGCACCATGTCCAGTCTGCCGTATTTGCTGGCGACCATCAGCGGCGTAAACTTCTTTTCGTTGGTAGCATTGACATCGACATCGCACTGCTGGAGAACTCTAATGGCGAGCTGCGCATCGTTGACAATGTGGAGCAGCGTGTTGCCCTTCGCGTCCACATGATCGTCAATGTGCAGTGGAAGCTCGTCACCCTGCGCTTCCGTGGCCGCATCAAGGCCGGCATCCACCATTTCGCGGTAATGAACGTGGTCATAGGACCGGCATAGCGCAAAAAGTGGCGTCTGACCATTCTTGTCTTTTTGCCGCCAGGGGATTAATTTCCCGATCCGAGAGATCAAAAACGGCGCGTGGAACAGGTAATGCGCGCAGCTGCGCCCCCAAATGTCCTGTTGCGCAAAGTACTCCAAAAGCCTCTCTTTTGGCGCCGAGGCCATGACGAAGTCAAGGACGACGTTGATCAGCTCTGCGTGACCCAGTTGAACCGCGGCGCTAAACAGCGTTGTATCCTCGTTGTTGATGTCGTCCAGCACCACAGAAGGTGGATAATATTCATCCAGTGTGAGCAAGTACCGCAACAGATCGGGCCTCTCGTTTTGTACAGCCATCATGAGGATTGACTCTCCGAACAAGTTATGCGTCTGCGATAACCGATCTATTGTGATGTCTCCTTCCAGCACGCTTTCAACAGTTCCGTTGCTTGTTGCCCTGGAATGGTATGAGATCTCAGACCCGCTGGACATGCTTCTCGTGTCCATGGCGACCCTTTTCACCTTCCTTGGGGGAGGAGGAACAGGGGGTAGAGGGAACTCAAGGTCGCTACCGTTGTCCTCGGCCTGGAACGGGAAGACATGGCTGAGACCAGAGCCGGAGGAAAACCGGTCCGAGAATGTCAAGGCGGCGGACGATCTCTTAGACGTAGAGCCATTGGTATAGCTCCAGCTCCGAGACGGCCGTCGACTCGAATCGGGTGAGTCGTAAAGATCATCGTCGATGATCGCATTTGAGTCTGGCTCCATGATTTTCTTCAGGTCGTCTAAACTCCCGTTGCAAGCAGCGTCCCATAGCGCTTTGTTTCTCCGACTAGCCCTCCGCAGTCCTGCCGAATCAAGTACAAGGTACGCCAGCACAGCCTCAAACGTGCTCAAGGCGTAGCCCATTTCGCCGTTGTCGACGTCGTCGATGAAGATAAAGTGTCGAATGTAAATGAGCCGGGCGTGCAAGTGTCTCACTTGAGCTCGGATGACGACGAACAACAGTAGAGATACAAGAGTATCGGCATTGATGGTGATGGTTGGCTTCTCCAACGAAGAGGTCGCTCGCGCCTGGGAAGAGTTTGTCAGGTGCGTCACCAGCTTCATGGTTGATAGAAGCAAGTCAAGCATCTCTTGCGGACTCGGGGCGTTGGCCATCTTCTTGAACTCCTCCACAGCTAGACCAAGTTGTATCGTGAGATCATGCTTCCCTCGGGTGCCCCCTTCGATGGTGATTCCCAGCTGGGAAAGGTCGATGTACTCCATTTGCCGAATCTTGGCCTCTAACTCCAGGTCGTAAGGCCGTTTTAATGCACTGAGACGCGGAAACAGGAGATAATGCACATTCTCCGAGACATATCTCTCGATGAGCCTCTCGACAAGTGGGCCCGTCAAGTCCGTCGTGGCTCCGAGCATGGAAAGTTGCTGCTTGTCGACGCCCTGGAACAGATCAATTGCCGCAGTAACGGCAGTTTCGAGCGACGCCCTCATCACATCCTCGTCATCCTCGGCGTAAAAGTTTTCCGTCACAGGTAGTCCGTTGGAGACCCCGTTGGGCCGCTCTGCTGTCGACATGCTGTTAGACCTGGCATTCCTCATCGCCGTGGTGATGGGTCCGTCGGGCGCCGGATCGGGTATGCGGAAGGCTGAAGGGGGCGGCGGAAGCGGTCGCTCGAAGACTGTGGAGAATTCCCGGAAAAGCTTCTCCAAACCAGGCTGCATCTGTCGCGCAATGACGGGGAAGTGGGTGAGGAGGTCGTGGAAACTCTTGATATCCTTCTTGCGCGGCACCATGGCACCTTCGGTGCCCTCGGCGGCGGATGACCTGCTCTGCTCGAGCGCCTGTCGTCTCGCCATCCCCTCAATCAGAACCGCCGGCTCGATCTTGATTTCTTCCCACACCCCCATCAGCGGCCGCGAGATGTAGTAAATGAGCCATTGGCGGGGCTCGAGCATGTCGGGGTACCATGTCGAATCGTTGAGGAGTTGTGCTTGCGCAAGCGACTTGAAGCCTGCAGGATGCACGTTAGCTGTCAACGGTCTGCAGAAAGCCTCTGTGCGATAGGTGCACCTTTATTGCTGTAGACATGAATGTCTTTAATGACAACTGTGCGACCATTGATGGTCTGGTACTGCTTCGCCTTGCCCCTCAGCTCCCGCAAGTTCTGCGCGCCATCCTTGCCTCCAGCCGCAGCGGCGGTGTTGGATGCCGGTATACGGAGCACATGGCTAGCTAGGAACTCCTCCGAAGTGATGAGCTCATGGAAGGTCGAGCCACTCTCGATCTCGCGACATGTGAAGAGTACGTCGGTGGCTGGGACCAGGAGGATGTGGTGATGTACCGGCGTACACTGAGATGGCAGGGAGCTTCGGAAGAAGGCGGCGAGGAATGGATTTAGGGGTTGCATTCATTCGACTGGCGCTGGACGTCCTCGACCAGCTCACCCAGCCGGGGAAGCCAGGATTGCAGGGAAAAGAGAGGTAACGAGGGTCGAGTAGGGGTTTGGAAGTCGGAGGCGTCAGAAGCGACAACCAAGATGGGAAGCGGACAATGATCGACGTCGCTGAAATGAGAAATCTTCGTTATTGGCCGGTCGGGCGTGATTGGCAATTCGCATGCGTCGTTCGTTAAGTGGTGAAGTTGTTCGAGTCGTGATGAGGAACAACAGGCTGTGATGGTCGCGATTCCCCTGGACAGATGGCAGCAAGGTGTTGAAGCTGATGTGGGCCAGGCCGGGCCAGGCACTGACCTCACCCAGGCTGCACTGCACGTCCCACTCCCACTGGGCCACTGAACGCCACAGCCAAGGGGGGGTGTGGTAACCAAGGCACTCAGGAATCAGCGCTGAAGAGGTTCGCTCCGAAGTTCCGGGACCCACCCTGACCTCCATTGGGGCACATTGATTCGCTAAAAGAGGGACGGAAGGCAGGACGGAATGCGGAGAAAGGCGATATCCGAGAGAGGGTACTTCCTTATCCAGGCTGGGTCTAGGCAAGCAAAGCAACCTTAATCAACCCTGTTCCCCCACGGAGAAGCTCTCGGTCTTCCGCGCCTAGAGAATTAATTTCCAGCCACATTTGTTGAATTACAGAGTAGCTGTATACTTCACGTGTTCCCTTGGAGAGAAGACCACCTCGGATAATCATTTCACATGCGCGCATGCTCTGGGTTTCACTGCTGGTTGATATGGATTGCCGATGAATGGCATTTTGCCATGAGCAGCTTTCTCAATGCTTGGCCAGAAACATACGAAACATTTGGGGGGAGGGAATGTTCATGAAACTGGAAAAGAAAACACACACACACACCAATCAATGAAAGAAGGTCCACTTCAACTCCATTCCGCCTCGACGCAAAATTCTTCAGCAACAATGTCAATCAATGTCAGAAGTTTCATTACCGATGGTTTCACCAAGACATAGGGCAAAGCGAAGCAAAGCCGCAAGTCCTCACAACAATGACCAAAAGATTAACCCGTTGGAGTGGCTACGCCAATCGCGGTGAGGATTTGAGCCTCACGCGGGGGTCGAACCCGCAACCTTGAGATTAAGAGTCTCACGCTCTACCGATTGAGCTAGCAAGGCGGGTTAAATATTTGATGACGGAATACCAGTTTCTAGGGCCTCTATACCATGCATGGGCGTGTTCAAGTGAAAATAATCCACTTCATACGATGCTACCTACTTCTGATACTCGGATTGGATTCTAGCCACATTTCTTGAAAATTGCTTAATTACGGTCTATCTTACAGGTCTTTTCTCTTTAAAACTTATGGATTTGATCCTTTCGGTACCCAACTTGTTGCAGCACACCCGGCGCGCTTCTTTTTCCAACCAGCGCCGCCTCCATCGCCGGCGGGCCACACACAAACACCTTGGTCTCAATGCCCTTCGGTACTGCGCCGACTTCCTGCAGCAACTCTTTCGTCACATAGCCCTTTCTGAATGGCGAGTTCGGCATGGGATTGCTGACGGTATAAATAGCTTTGAACCTCCCGGGAAATTCCTTCTCAAACTGTTCAAACTCCTCCTTGAGCAAAACGTCCTGGTCTGAGTTGATGCCGAAGATGAGCGTCACGGCCGTCTTGTCCTGCGGGTTGCGAAGGATGCCTTGGGACAGCTGGTAGATCGGCGTGATACCCGCGCCGCCTGCAATCATGGTAACGTGAGAGTAGCTGTTGGGCTTCCACTGGTGACCCTTGATCGCCAGAGCGAAGAGCAGCGTTTCGCCTGGTGTCAGGGAGTGGAGATGTGTGCTCTGTTTACCATCAGGGTACTTCTTTACCATGAGTTCCAGGTAGCCGGCATCATCTAATCATCCGTCAACGCTGCACTTTATGTCAAAGCTATTAAAGTAGTCATACCCAGGGGCTGAATGGGCGTGTAAGGTCTTGCGACGGGAAACCATCGACCCTCGGGCCATGACATTGTGAGGACAGCCGCTGTCTCATTGTTAGCCGGTCAACGATTCCTCTGAGTGCGGCCAATCTCACATGTCAACGAGAGCCCGCTAACGGCGTCCCTTTGCGGTAGCTTGAATCGCAGACGTTTCGTGTTGTGGTTGACCTTCTCCGAGCTCTCCAGGGGCAATGATACGAATGCTGGCCCCGCGCCAAAGACATTTGGCGGCGCACCCGATTCCGCGGACGCATTTCCCACGAGAAGCTTTGACATGACACCCAAGCCGATGCCGCCGGCCGCGACGGCTGCTACGACGTTCGCCGGTCGGAAGCGGCGAATTGCTGCTCGTGATGTCATGTTTAACGGAATGATACGGTGACTGAACAGTTACTTATATGAGACCAAGTCGGTCTTACGGTAGTGCACTGAATCTGGGTGTGGGTTTTTGGGTTGACGATTGGCAGCCGCCCCATCTTGCCGGGCGATCAGTCGTTTAAGAAGTAGAATGTTAATATGAGCTGAGCTGACGCACGAGGCCAATGCATTATGGTCGGACAATGCCGGGACCGAGACAGTCTGAAAGATTGAACAATAATGGGGGTGTTGGCGGCCGGTGCGATTCGGCCAATCCCAAATGTCCGGGACCGGTCGGGCCATGTAAGCGCCGTTCGAAAGAACAAAGACGGGCCAACAAAGTCGGGCTTCAACCCCTGCGGAATCAAAACGAGTAGGAAGGTTACTACCATACCTACCGTTGCGAAGTCCCCAATTATCTATCGGTGATCTTGATCGACAAGTTTGTCTAACGTGTTTTCAGGAACTCGGACATTGCTGCCTGTCAGAGTGGGGTGATGCGATGCCGTATTCGCGACTTACGCAACGGAGCCAACACCACGAAATTAAACCTTTGCGAATGACCGGATGACGTCCACAGCATCTGCCCGAAACGAATCATTGAAGCGATTCGTTTCAGTATGCCCCACACTTTCATAGAACCAAAGCGTCTTGTTTGCCATTCTACGAAATCCACGTTCGGAGCTTCATCGGCTCGTAAACCTCTGGCCAATAGGCTGAGCTGGGTGAGTCTTGCCGCTTTTGCTCACCCACTACAATAACCTAGGTAAGGCGAGGGAGACGCGAGCAGAGAATCAGAAAAACGTAATACAAATACAATGTAAGACAAATACATGTATTTGCATTTTCCCCCTATATAATACAATACAGCAAGGGTGAAGGCGAACGCCGAGACGGCGGTGACATCTCAAGTGGTGACATCCTGACTTCCACCGCTCCATCTGTAGTCGAGTAAGCTAAGGCTGATATGGACTGCATGGCGTTCGACAAAAGGCTTTCTGTCACTTTCGGTGTGGTGGCACAGACCGCACTTGGTGTTGAGGCTAGACCAGGAGTAGGCATTGGCTCTAGCATCAAATGCGAGTATCGCAGAGTGAACGCCGTTGAAGTCATAGTATGACCAACCATATGGCACCTGATGCATGTACTTGGGGCCCGTGACGCAATTTCAACGTTTCAACCCCGCTTGGCTCTCGTCTAGTGCTTGACTGTGGAATACGGGAGTTGTAATTATAACCTAGGCTTGATGCGCTGGCGAGGCTCCAGCAGCAACTGCGGCGCTCCTCCGCGCCTCAAATTCCAATGTGCATGGAAGTGCCTGTATAGGAGAACAAGATTCTGTTCTTGAAAAGCCTTTGTATCACAGGAGGCTTGTATATGTATAGCAGTTGTCGTCAGCCACACCACGTGCCATGTTACATAAACAAGCTTAAGGGCCCCCTTTATATAGGCCCTCCACCTAGGAGATTCATCTTCCCACAATACAAGCCTTTTTTACTCATTTGTATCTCCCTACCTGCTATGTGCTCTAGCTTGTAAGACTTTGGTTTGTGTAAGCATAGCAGACCATACACTTAAGAGAAGGCTCCCGTACAGACTGTGGAATGGTTTGTATTGATCTTAGTGAGCAGCTTCTGTTGCTCTTCTATTTTGCAAGGACTTCATACGATACCCAGCCAAGCACTGCGCCATATATGTGTCCCGAAAGCTCGAATGGTATGTATGCGTGTCTGCTGCTTTACCTGTATGACACATACTTGGCAACCCCGTCAGCTTTATCCTTTTAGTTAGCTGTAGATGCCGTTACTACTAAATAGGTAGACCCTTCAGGAGTGATGTATCCCCTACCGTAGTAAAGACGTTTTATTTCAATAGCTTGTCCGCCAACTTCCTGTTATCAAGCACATTACTAGCCGCAGCTCCTAGAAGTCAGTCAGTAGAGCGATTTAGGGTAGCTAGTTACGGCGGGGCGGCGCTTCAGGTCGTCTGACCTACAACCTAGGGGCGGGCCAGTTAGTGGTTGCGTCGGGAAACAAACTCCTCTTTAGAGCCTACTACTGTGCTCAGCAACAATCACTCAAACAAAAGAAGCACCACCCACCAACAAGTCTGACATCGCCGCCATCAGCTACGTGAACTACTCCCTACCCAGGCTCCTCCCCTAACTACTATGTTTACAAAATTCAATAATCTTCCATGCAATCATCTCATTAGTAACATTTCTTCTTCCAGCCTGCACACAAGGCTACAGATGAAACGCTGGTACTCCCGGCAGACCCTATTACTACGACGCGTGTTTCCGCAACAACTGTTTTGACTAAGTTCTCCGTTTTTAACACGAAAATCTTATATCTTCTTAACTGTCCCCTACTTAACAATGTTAGCTTTAGAGTTTAAGTATAGGTATATTAAAGATATAGAAAGACTTAATAACTATTAGCTAGGTGGTTATTATCCTATTTAAATTAACAATTGTCTTTACAAGCGATACTGCATAGTACATAAGCTTAGCTACAGCACGTTCTTAACAGTCTAGCTTGCTCTTAACAAATAGACGTTAAACTACGTAGCTATTAAAGTTAGCACTATAGATGTAGACATACAAGAGATAGATATTCCATCTAAGCTTACTATAGGAGTTGTAGACTATAGCTACGCTGCTTATAATATATTAATAATCCCTATTGTCCCTAATTACTTTAGCCTCAATGGCCCTAATAGGACCTATCCTTCTTTTATAACAGTCCTAGCAAGATGTAGTCTTATAGATGCAAAAGAGGCGTCAGACTTAAGACTATTTAAGCTTAATGTTGCTTAGTCTCTAGCTACCTAGCTTGCTATAGCTATTTCCCTTGTTTACTTACAGGGTTATGCTTATAGAGGTATATAGTTCTTATTCTTATTGCTACCTCTCTAATAATAACAACGTTCTCCCCTAGACCTTTATCCTAGCAACCTTCTTCTTTAGCTACCTCCTTCTCTTAATGATCTCTCAGTGGATTAGTTATATGCTAAGTTTAGGGCTCTAAAGCCACAGCCTGTTATCTGTCTTAATAAAAACTTAACCTCTTTAGCAGCTAGGGTTCCTTTATACGCTGTCCTTACTATGTAGCTTAGAAAAGTAAGTAATAAAATTACTATAAAGGAGGTAAAGCTATTACTTAGTGACTTTAGTGTTGCCTTTTGCTTATTGGATAAGTTATAGTTTAAATTGTATATACCCCTTATAATGCGTCTACCTAAGACGTTCTTTAAACTAATAACACCTCTCTTTTTTATGTTAAATATATAAAGCCTTACTTATACTATCTTTAAGTTACTTGCTTATAGGTCTCTTATTAATAGAATTCTTATGCCTTAGGATAAGATTATAGCATAGTAGGTCTACTTATAAGGACTTTTACTATTAGAGTAGTAAGATAACTAGAATAGTAGTTTAAATAGTTTAATAAAGCGTAAAGACTGCTTAGTAATAAGCGTAACATATAGACGTAGGATAGGCAGTTTAAGCAATAGGTACAAGGGCTAAGACAGTCTTATAGTATAAGTGTTATTAATAAAGAGGAGGAGGCCACGCTGTTTAAGCTGCTACGCTAGATGCTTGCATGGAGGCCTAGAGAGCGGCTAAGTGCAGCAGATGTGTTAAACATGGCTTGGATAAGGAGGTAGGGTTTGCTAGCGTACGAGGAGGGTCGGAAGGCTTAGGCATAATGTTTTGCACTACTTACACAAAAGCTAACTTTCTAAAGCGGTTTAGTTGTATAGGAAGTAATTTTTAATGATTTGCGCAAAGTCTTGGGTGGTTATTGTAATTCATGTTTTGTTAAAGAGTGCAGTGGTTGACACCCATAAGCGCGTAATACTTAAGAAGGTGCATTCTTGGTATTGGGCCGCGCGCAGGCAGGGATCAATGCAGATGTACGATGAGGAATTCTACCTCATGTGGCCACTCGGCCGTGAAAATGAAGTCTTATTGCCGCTTTTCCCGCAACGACCCTAATCATCAGTGCTTTAGCGTCAAAATTCTCAAGGCCGGGCACATTGAAAGGTGTCGTAGAGGCACTTTGCATAGGAGAATGGCTCAACTATCTCCGTGTGAGACCGTGTGGCCCGAGTCGAAGAAATACGTATCTACGAGTAGGTCCACCTGTATCCGTATTGGGACCGAGAAATCCGGAGAGGCGGTTTCTCCGACTCCCGGAGAAGCCCTGCACGGAGACGCGCGATGCCGATGAAAGCATCGTGGCAAAAGGCATATCGGTGCGGCCAGTGAAAGGCAGGGTGGTATCATAGTTTTCCAAGCGGGGATTGCACATATGTTTCACTCGGCGAAAGAACGTTAGAAAGAGTGAGATCTCGAACATATTTTTCTCCTGGGAAGAACCATGAAAGTCTAAAGACACGCATCCATGCCTATACCTAGCTTTCATAGGTGGTGCTGGTTGCATATCTCAAGGACTGCCTACCTTATTTATCCATCCCAGCAAAAGGGTCATAGCTTTGCTCGCCAACGCTGCAAAACCTACACATGCTGCTGTTAATTGCCAAACCGAAAGCAGAAACATGCCGATACGGTACAAATCATCTTGATTTCCATGAGCCGAGGCACAAGAAATCAACATTTTCAAATACAATCTTCAAGTGGCACCCAATTCGTATGCATGGATCTTATTCTGTTTATATACACCAGGTATCTGACTCGACAAACATGTGGCTACAGGGGTGACACGCAACGATTAGTCAGCTGGGGATGGGGCAATTACCCCTTTGGCTGGTTGCATCCACCCCTGAGAGGGTGATGGTGAACAGATAAAGATATCGGTTGCGGTTAATTTGCGGGTGCACTTCTGGTATTATGCGGGTGTCTAACCCAATCAAGGAGAATAATGGGTCAGCACCAGCTCTCTAAGCCTATTTCGGCTAGTCCGTACAGAAATATCATAATCGATCACTTACACTTAACATAACCAAACCCAAACCCTAACCCAGACCCTAACCATCCTAACCACTAACCCTACGCATCTTATAGATACTTAAAAAGATGCATAGGGTTAGTAGTCAGGATGGTTAGGGTCTGGGTTAGGGTTTGGGTTTGGTTATGTTAAGTGTAAGTGATCAAGTATGATAGTTCTGTACGGACTAGCCGACAAAGCTAACTGGCCTGAATACTCCTACGCTAGGCCACAGGCAGTCTGTGTTTAAAAGCCTCGACTAGGTCACGGACATTTGGGTGGGGTGGTTTGACAGCGCCAGACAACATTTATGTTTTTAGCGCTCATCGAGCAAAACAGAAATGAAGACGACAATGGTTTGGTTATGTTAAGTGTAATGGATTATGTTGTGTTGTGGTGGTTGTGGCTGTGATTACTAGATATAGTTAGACACCTGCATAATACCAGAAGTGCACCCGCAAATTAACCGCTACCAAGATATTCAACCACGTCGTCAAGAACAAGGCCGCCAAATGTTTAACGATCACATTTGCAGCAGGCCCGAATATGCAGGACTATGCGGTACGTCTACCTGCTTCTGGCTACCGAGTGGTGTTCACTGAGATGCAGCAGGTCAACGAGTTCAGCTCCAATGCTCAACCTCACTTCAATCTGCTTAGGATTCTAGGCGGATGGGGCAACGTCAAGTATGGGGCCAACAACATCTATAATTCATTAAAAAGTTTTGACTGACCTTATTAGTGGCCCAGGGCTTCTGTAAGCCGCCGATCTTGCTTGGTATTCAATATTCCTGTCCCTGCTAACGCCTTGCAAGGATGCTCCGCAGTATGCTTGCGGGAACATCTACAGCCGCCGTCATCGGTCTCTCAGCCGCAATAATTGGCAGCAGTATCTGGGGTACAGCGGCTTTGCCATTTCTAGTTGTCCCGTCTATCGGGTTCGCGCTCGGTAGCGCTAGATGGTACATGGTGGCCACAAGAGAAGCCCTCCTTCAACTAGACAACTACCCCTCCATTTTGCGACTTCATCTCATTGCAAACTTTCCCTGGAAGCCGGGGCTTGGCCGCAAAGGTGTCGACTGGTATACTTCAGATAGGTTCAGATCGAGGTGGGAAATGAAGAGTATGCTTGTGGCTGCTTGGCTTACAGCACAGCCTGCGCTCGACGAGATACGCACCCGAACGGAGGCTGGGATAGTAGAAAGCTATGTGAGGCAGAGTCATGTTAAAAATGGAGACCTCAGCGAGGATGAATAGCCATAGACGACAAAAGTGCGAGACTCGGACAAGAAGTGGCACTGTTGTCCATAATTAAGTGCTCCACGAAACCCAGACTATGGATTCTCTACACTTTGCTTGACGGCCTGAAAATAAGTTTGGTTTTATGTCTTCTGATTTTGTGGTGACATCATGGTAAGATAAGCTACCCGAGGGATATTGGATGCTTGAGAAGCTCCACATACTTACTTTGATGCCTTTCGTGATATTGCTGTCTTCAGAATAGATGCTGACTCAGAAGCAGAAATAAGATAAGAGTAACCCTACCCATGAGACAGTGCGTTAACCTTATCACGATCCATGTGAGATGCATGAAGGGATCCCCCTGACACAGAGAACTCGGATCTGTGGGCGGACCCCAATTAGGAGAACTGACAATATGATTTGTCTGTTATATTGATACAGATATATGGCTTCTGGCCGGATACATCCACAGCAAATTTTAAAGCCTAGGCTTTCAATCCCAATTGCAGTATGTGTGACTATAACCTGACTCGGCACCATCGGATAACCCGAGCCCCATGCCGCCGCTCGGACTGCTCGGCTTGGATTTCCAACAACGTAATTGTGGGTTGCCGGTATTTTCACGGCCCCCTTGTGGTATTTTCACAGCCCTCTGGCCACTACTACCACAACACACCCAAATAACATGTTCTATCACGCAAACATATCTAACTAACCTAAACCCTAACCTTAACCCTAACTATCCTAACCCTATATATCCTTAATAGATATATAGGCTTTTATAAATACATAGGGTTAGTAGTTAGGATACTTAGGATTATAGGATTTAGGTTAGGTAGATTTGCTTACAGAATAGAACATAGTATTTCCTATAGGACTAACTGAGATAGGCAAGAGACTAGCTGAGATGGGCTTAGAGGGCCGTGAAAACACAACAAGGGGGCCGTGAAAATACCGGCATCCGCAATTGTTAGGTAGCAAATCACAAAGTCCAGATCAAGGCATGGACACAATAAAAGCGTGGCTGTAAAATGACTGATCCAGGCCCTCAATGGCTCTTTGACCTATGATTGAATACCAAAGCGGTATAGGGTCAATGTGAAAAGTATCCGTATCGAATTCAGAACGCCTAGACTCAGAAGCCACAGAACCCTTGATAGTGCTCAGCCCCATGCTGTACCCCTGGCTTCGGCGAAATGCCGGATTCGAACGACTTGCCGTATTCAACAGACAAGAGGAGCTCTAGCCATGTTCGTATGCATTTGAAGCTACCTCGCACGAGGAATAGGAGCTTTTGGAGTCTGCTTAAAAGCCGCGGATCGTCCACGACAACGAGTACTTTTTGCTATCCAGATCAAGCACTCCAGAGCATCAAGTTATTATAACAGGTCTTTTCCTGCAAGTGCCATCTCGATCAACAATACATCTTTCTTTGCAAGACATTCCCATAAATCAGAAGCCTGCCAGATTGGCCGGGTTTGAAATTACGTTCACTAACAGCCTACAGCTGCTGGTATCCTCAGTCAACCATGTTCGTCGGCAAACTTCTACCCTTTATCGGCCTGCTACGTGCTGCCTCCGGTACACCTGTTGATAGGCTGCTGGACCGCCGCGATGTGGTGGGCCATGACACTCTGAACCCTCTTCCGCAGAGAGTTCAGGACAATTACAGTGGCGCAGCCATTGCGAGATTCAACCCCCTTCTCCATATTGCGAGTGGGTGCCAACCGTACACCGCCGTCGACGATGCGGGTAATATCAGGTATGTGTTTAAAACTTCCCAGACATATCAAGCTTTGCAGATCTGATACCAGTTGAGTGGCGGATTGAAGCCCAGCGGTAAATCCGACGGTGGCTGTAGGGATACCTCCAAGGGACAGACCTACGCCAGAATCGGACAGTACAACCAGAGATGGGCAATCATGTATGCATGGTACTGGCCCAAAGACCAGCCACTCGATGGTGTATCCACCGGCGCGCATAGGCACGACTGGGAGAATGTCGTCATCTTCATCAACGACCCCTCCGACGCGAACCCGACGATCCTTGGCGGAGGAGCTTCTGGACATGGCCAGTACAAGGAGTCAGATTTCCTGCCGCGCCAGGGTGATAGCGTGAAGGTGGAATACTTCGCCGAGTTTCCCACCAACCATGAGCTGCAGTTTACTAGCACAGTGGGCAGAACTTATCCGGTTCTCGATTGGGATGTTATGACCCCAGCCATGCAGAACGCCCTTAACAATGCAGACTTTGGGTCCGCCGACGTTCCGTTCAAGGACGCGAACTTCATCTCGAGCCTTGGCAACGCTGCAAACTTCTAGATAGATTTCTTCACGGGGGCAAATTTTAATGTATAATCTTATTCATAGCTATATTTAATTCTTAGTTTTCAATCCAGGGGGCCAGGGCTGTTGGCTATCTGAGCAAAGGCCTTCCTGATCATAATCCTGAGCCCTAGATACCGCATTATAACATAGTGATCGAAGTAATGGGGAATCATGTTTCATACAAACGACTTCATGAAGAATACCCTTCGAGTCTCAGGTACCTCGTGGCCCGTCTGTCGCGGCGGCAGCCGTGGACATAATGACGGGGTCTACGACCTCGTTGTCCTTCATCGAGGTGATATCGGGACTCGTCTTTGTGTTGTCTGCTGGTCGCTCAGGCACGAGAAAAACGACCCAGGAAGTTGCGGGAATGCAAACCGCAAACATGACGAATGCAACAATAAGGTTAACCATAGGCGAGATCTTGACTGCGCCTATACCAAATGATAAGCATGATCCAATGGACTCAAACGACCGCACGAGACCAACGCCCAAAGTCAGTGTTTCAATGTCGTCGAAGAATGTGCCCATGAGCCAGTAAACGAACATATAATGTGACTCGTTCATGAAGCTGCCTTTGCGTAAGCTCGAGTCTCAATCGACATAGACGAGAAACTTACCGGAAAAGCACGTTGACTGCGAAGCCGCGACCGAACCCGGGAGAAGTCCAGTCCAGAGTGATTTTCGGAACCGTGTCCTCGTACAACTTTTCGTTGGCGATCTGCCAGGCGAACAGACCCAGCATGATAACTGAAAAGAAAGCCCAGGTGATCCTTGCAAGTTGCGGGCGACTGAAGCACTTCAGGTCGTAGAACCATCCCCAGAACATGTTGGCAGCGGATGCTGCAATGCCAGAGGTCAAGCCGCCCAATGTTCTGGCTCGGACGGAAAAGTACTTTGTGAGGTAGATGCCCTGATATGTGCTGTTCCAGTTGAAGCCAATAAGGATAGGAATTAAGAGGTAAAACTGCTGCTTCTTGAGCAGTTTTAACCACTTGCGGAATTCCCCCATGACGACCTTGTTCTTTGTCGGGTCGGCAACCTTCCTTCCGTCACTGTGGATTACCTTTTGCGGAGGCGATATGAGCAGGGCGAGGGGAAGGCCAAGGCATTGGAGGGCAATCAGCACAAGGTAGGTTGAGTATCCCACCTTTCCTCGCTGGCCGTTTTCAGCATTCAAGGAGAGCTGGATAGAGGATCCGAGCAGTTGGCCCAGCTCCCGGAGCCCGAGCCAGATACCAGTGAACTTGCCTCTGTCCTTGATGTCGGCATATCCAAGAGCGATGGCGCCTTCAGCCGCCCACAGCGCAGATGCGGCAATGCCGCAGGTCGCACCGCCGAACAGGACAAACCATTCGACTCCGTAACGGTTGTTCACGTACATGGAAGCCGAGTAGGGTGCGTAGCCGAGCGTGCCAATGATCAAGACCGTCTTGAGGCCGATTTTGTTGGCCATTATGGCGAAGAAACTGCAGCCAAAGACCATGATACCGAAAGTCAAAGAGTTGGCTCCATTGACGAGGTAGGGCTCCTGTTGACCGCCCGCGCCGGTGCCTTCATAGACCTACGTCAGTACGGCTTACGCTTGACTTGGCTGCAATTATTAGACTTACTGTTGAGGGCATTCCAAATGCCGGGTTGAGTGAACGAAATCAAGCCGACGATGATGACGTTGAACAAAGGGCTGCGAAACCAGCGCGTAAAACGAGACACGGGCTTCAAAGGTTGAGAGTCTTGGACCTCCTGGTCAACCTCGTCAGGTAACTTTGCTTGGTCGGTGGACGACATTGCTGGCAGGTTGCTTGCGATCCCGACGCAATGGTAGAGTTCATGCAACTGTGTAGGACATGGGGGCTGTTCGGCGTCGAGCTTTTTAAGAGAAACGCCAGCCCGTACTACATTCTTACCTTTTAACTCACATCAGACATCACTAGACCCATGTACATCTATCTTGGCAGTTTGCAAGCGACGAATGTCTGCCATGTTACATCTAACTGAATTTTTTTTCTTTGCCCAAGGTTAGTCACTCCGCACCCTGTCAGATACGAGGCCGTTGCCAGATTGGCTGAGAATATGACACTGGCAGCCTTGACTCTTGTGGCGTCATTGGAAATTGTAATGAGATAATCCCGGCCAGCCAGCACAAGCGCGATCCTGTCGGCCCTCCCCCGAAAAAAGTCGAAATAACAAAGAAGGTAGGGGACGTGGATTGGACCCTTGGAGTGGCATGATGGGGTCGGTTCCAGGTTCCAGGGCCGACATGGCGTCGTGCTTGCAAGGATACGATGGCGACATCTGCGAGCGGATGGCGACCTGCACAGTTCGTCATCCGCTGGCTTTCGAGAGCGCAAGTCAAGCATAGCATAAAAGGGCATCCAGAGTCCCATGAAAACACTTAGGGATACCCGAATCGCATGAAAATCCCTGGATAACCCTATTTAGACGTTTTGTGATCTATACTGTGACAGCAACCCGCCCCAGACTTCGGGAAATAGGTATACTCTGTACATCCATGATGGGACCCATCGCCATGACGCTCAGGCCAGCTCCGGCGGTTCATTTAAGGGCTCCGTACCCGGAAAATATGGTGTTCCCCTTGTCGTTGGCGGCATCCCGGCCAGATACCCACATAGCGCAGCTGATCGCCACAATCCAAGAACTCTTATCTAACGAGAAGCTACGAACTCTGTCAGACGAGCATGGTGCTGTCTACTTCCAGAACCCCGGGTCTGAAAAATGTAGATGAATCTTCCCGGTTTGCGCACGCGTTTGACTAGACCGTATACAAAGATGTTGGCAACCCGGTTCGGCGCGCCATTCATTCTAAGAACGTGGCAATGGCCAATGAAGGGCCCAATACGCAGCCAGTTCACCCTCACAATGAATCCGGATTAAGCCCACATTACCCAGCTTACGTCTTGTTCTTCTGTGCCTCTCCACCTGACACGGGTAGGTATTCAGCTTGTGGAAAGTTGACAGGGCTCTGATGTTGTAGGTAGTGAAATCCCCATCAACCACTCTATTGTACTCTACCGCCTGTCTTTCAGCAGGCACCCTGACTTCATCAAAGATCTCAAGTGCCAGTGATTGATGAAAAATCAGGAATCGAAGAGCTTGCTAGTCTGTGGGATGAGCCAGTCGGATATGTACTTTGAGTACGCCGACAACGTGCAACAAATAGCAAGAGGAATGAGTCTGTGTCAGCCGATGCCAGAAATCGGTATCACGTATGGAGAATGCTGGAGAACTCAACAAACACAAACGTGCATGTAAGATGTATATAGGTATTAAAACTTTTAGGAATGGGTGGTTTATGTACCCTCTTGAGTAGCTACGACTCAAGATGCTTGCCTATCCTATAACGACGTAGACAAAGTACACTCCAGGACAGGTGTAAAGAGACAAAAGAAACACATGATGGCTAGATTGTGAAAATCTCAAGACGACGGAAGGAAAGCTTCTCTGCATCGTATGGTGGTGACTCAAGATCTTCTTAGAGAACAATGCTCTAATCACAAGAAACGACGAGTCCAGACTAGGAGATTCCAGTTAATATATATACTAAGACAGACTTCTCTGCAGCAACGACTTACGAGGTCGAGAACGCAACATCTCGGGTGCTTTTTGCCAGTGACCAGGCAGGAGGCCTCGAAGCCAGCAATAGTGAAGGGTGCAGTGGAGGCTGTAGTCGCCGTTTAGCTGAGGACCAGGGGGCTCACGGAACGTAAAAAGGGATGGTGTTGGGAACTTACGAGCGACACACTTCAGGGAGGTGGCTTCAGTGGCCTTGGAATCGCAGCAAAGCGCGGTGCTCAGCTCGCATATAGTAGAAACAATAGGCACGTCCTCTAGGGCCTCGCAGACGTCCTTGGACACGTCATCGCTAGTGCGGTCCACGCTCGTGGGGGCGGCGATCGCAAAGGAAGTAAAAAGAGCGACAAGGTAGGTTGTGGACTTCATCGTTGCGATACTGGGAGATCGGATCTGGTTGATAAATATCGTGGGGGGTGGCGGTGAGCTGTTGTGATGGAGACAAGACACTCTTTTCAGCTTCGGAAAGGGGAAACGGTTGAATTTATGCCTATGATTCTACTATGCCGAAGGCAGAGTTGGCTTTGATTCTTGGGAAAAGAGACGTCAGTGCCAGTATCCTGGGCTTTAGAATGCCGGGACAAGACGTGGTTTTACACAAGGGTAAGCCAGCCCGTCATCTGTACGCCTGAACTAGTTTTCACCGCGTGGAGCCCGCCAACACATCCTCGTAAACCTATATTGATTCACATCAATTAGTCGACGAAATCGTCGGAAGAATACCTTACGACATATCTGTCGACGTTGGCGGGCTGCAAGTGGAGGCTGATGAATGTCTCGGGCTCACGAAAGTCATTCCTAACGGTCCTACTTGCAAGACAGTCTCAGGAAATCGACTGCCTTAGGGGTCGTTGGCTTTCTTATCGCATGCCAAGTCGGAGCAATAGACATTTCTTTGACAGCAATGGCGTTCGCAAATTTTCCCGAGCGCTGATGAATCCTCCGACAAATATCCATGGGGTTGATCCATTCGAATGTTGGTCAATCCAGCTAGTGACGGATCTGCAGGACCATCGATGGACGCAACCTTAGTGTCTCAGTCCTAGCCACATTGGCTTTGATAGTCTAAGCCGACCGATACGAGGGCCCCTCACCTGAAGACCATACAATATCACAGTGCTGCACTAATTTATTCTCAGCTGTGGTCAAATTGCCGATTTCGCTTGTTCTTACTTTGGCTCGCCTCCTAATCGGAGGCGGTTGAGTGTTGAGGCAGGAAAATGACATGGCCATTCTCGAGAAAGCCAAGGTGTCCATTATTGTTTTTTTTTCTTTGTGATCTCCTCACTATTTTTATGTTGCCTGGCTGGTACACTCGGCCAGATAGAGAGTTGTGCCGTCCGCCAAGAACAACTACGGAGCCGCATTAGCAGCAATCAAAGCGGCAGAGCGGTTCGAGAACTCGTGTCATGCACCGGGAAATAAGTGACTAATGCGCCGTGGAAAAAGGGCTAGTAAGGAGGCGTCAGGAGCTTTCCCAAAGACCTCAAGACCAACAGCGGCGGGGAAGAGTCGTCGTGAGTGGTTCCTAGCCCAACTTGGACTGGCCTCTACGACAGCAGGCTGGAAGCGGAGTCAGAAGACGACATGTCAAGGATGCCTCGCTCAATATCCTTCACGCGGCAGCCAGGGTCGATCTACCTCTGCTTGAAGCCAGTTCAATCCTGTAGAGCCTGGCAAAACACAGGAGAGTACTATCGCAATCACAGTTGAAGCGGAACAGGCATCGAGTATGTAGATAAGGTACGGACTTTAAATCCTATCCGTTTTGAAAACAATTTAACCGGTACCTGACTCCCTACCGGCTTCTCAACAGGCACTCCTGACAGGGAAGTACTGAGTAGCCAATCAAGCCTGGATCGCCGACTAGATCAGTCTAATCGGGTATCGGGATCTAGTGCCAGCTCTAATACCAGCAGCCTGGTCGGCAGGGGCCATGCTGTTGACAGGTCTTTCGATGGTTGTGATCGACATAGTTTCCAACGTAGGAAATTGTTTACGAGTGGGACAAAGCAGTGTAGATGTTGGGAGTTGCCTGATTGAATTATCTGCAGTCATCAATAATAACGGAAAGGCTGGTGTTGAAAACGCCTGAGATGTGACAATTATTTGACGCGAGGACAACTACAGTACGATTGAAAGGCAGGCAACATGCGAATTGGGACTATATGCAGATAATGATTGGTGGTCTTTTGAAAAACGGGCGCTGTACAATACATGCCTGCGTGCGATAGAACGCTCGGCATCGACCCGGCATGATACCTTACCGCCTACCGTAGTATATATGCGGGGTTGTGACGTCTTAGGACTTCTCCTCTTGCCCTCGCCCGCTTTCGATACCAGTGAATCTCGATCCGGTTACCTTTGCTATCAGCCATTGACCCTGCACTGCTATGGTTCAAAGGTTTTTCGACTGTTCGGTGCCCACGTGCCGAAGGCCAAGTGCCCGTTCGGTAGGGGCTGGTTGTGATATGTGCAGCCGTCACTTCTGCGGGCTACATCTTTCCCGGGACTTCCATCAATGCGACGCTACAGTGAGTCGCGCAGACTGGAACTATGGCCGCGTACTACGCTGATCACAAATGCGTTCTAAGTCCCTTGACGACGCAGCTTATCAAGCCCTTATGGCCGATGAGATAAACCATCTTCGTGCTCGAATCAACGGACCAGCAGTTTGCAAGCTTGCCTCCAGCTTAAACGCAGGGAAGCCTTGTGTACTAGATCATCCTTCAAAGGTTGTAGGATTAGAATCTCTCACAGGCTGTGCAAATTACCATGCTCGCGTCCGGTTTGAGGATGGATCTGCGTGGCTTCTACGAGTGCCGCGAGTTACTGGCTTTGCTGTTGGTCTTCCTTCACCTCTAGCCGAATACCTGATTCAAAGCGAGTATGCAACCCTGAAATTCCTGGAGACTACCAAAGTGCCAGCGCCGCGGGCATTCTCGTTTGGTATCCCTTCCCAGTGAACTGATTGTGGTGTTGGAGTCTGCTTTCTTCTAATGGAGGAGTTAGCTGGTAGACCTTGGGACGGCCGAGGAGACACCTCCAAGGTTTGGCAAAGCCTTGGAGAGATCCTGACGGAATTAGAGAAGCATAAGTTCTACCAGGCCGGTTCTCTATGGGTTGAGTCCCCTCAAGATCAACCTTCAGTTTCTGCAGCAGCAAGCGATAGGTTCGTTTGCCTCGACCCTTGGGGCCCATTTAAAACGGCAACAGAGTATTATTCAGCCTGGGCTGAACAGTATCTCACGCTGATTGTTGATGGTCAGCTGTACCCACAATTCCCGGTTGAGGCCTTCCTGGTGTATCGATTCCTAAAGAAGAACGCAAGCACGTTAGCCGATGGCCATGATACGTTTTTTCTTAGGCATGTTGACGACAGAGGTGATCACTTGCTAGTCGACAAGCAGACCAACATCATTGGGATTGTTGACTGGCAAATGGCACGTGTTGTTCCGCGACGAGAGGCATTTGCGTTGTCCCTTATTTCTGCGGATATGAGAGCTCTGTGTGATGGTCAAGTGTCGCTTAGTGCGAAGGACGTCGCACTTGCTGGTGCTTTGCTGAAAAAGAACGCACAGTTGGCGGAATGTATGGGGGATGAGAAGATGAGACGATTCTTTTGGGGATTAGGACTAGAGCATGAATGGACCTTGGCATTCCCATTAGCGAAGGCCATACTTCGGTCTTCGGAGTAGAAAAAGGTTGGGACGAATGGAGAGAGGAGCAGTTGAGGGATTGCAAAAGCGATGAACGTCTAACGGCGCTGTTGGAAATTTAGTCGTGGGTAATAAAGGTGAACCGCGAACAAACTCTACCAAAGTTAGATACACATCTCCTTTGAAGGTTCGTTGTCTTCTCTATAGGGATCGAAATCGATAAGAGTCTAAAGGCGCTATTCAGCTCATTCTTTCTCGTCATTCTAATCTAGTTTCCATTACAAAGCAATGCGCCTTGTGATGCGGCTTCGCCTACTAATCCGTGCCATGTGTAAAGCCGCAGGCAGAACACCCGCAATACTGCGACCCTAGGCCACGAGAACTCTCCGGGTTCAGAGACTCGACGGCGGCCCTGGTGTTCTGGATAGACATAGCCAAGCGTCCCAAGATCCCTAAGCTCGAGATGCCCAACTTTGTGAAGGACCACGCGATCGAGGCGCCAATACCTGAACCGCCATGCGATACGAAGGTATGTTTCCCTTTGAGTGATAGTTCAGCGCGAGACGGGGAGATATCTGTACGTGCATTGTTCAACCACCCGTCTATCAGGACAACTTTGACAGGCTTAGACGGGATTTGGAACCTGTCGGCCGGTGCCCACCGCCGAACTCCCCCGAACATCCGGATAACGTTATGGGCGGGGCCCCGGCAGTTGGTCCGTCAGCTATTAGTGCTTACTCGATTGACAGTGAGAGCACAGTTGTTAAACTGTATATGCACCTCTTCCACGTCCAAGCTGATTAATTCAACATTCCTCGCCAACATAAAGGGCGTCGCTCTCTGATTACCTTTCATATGTAATAACGTTGACACTGCGAGACTCTTGAGCGCATCCCAAATGACATAATGGGGCCGCCCTCAGCAACGGAGATGAGTGCTGCCGACCCCGAGGTGAGCTTTACATACATACGTGAGTCTGTCCAAGGAGACGTGATTGCTAACTGCCCAACACAAGGCTCGACGACGTGCGCGAGGCGTCATTGCCCAGCGAGAGTACCGCAAGCGCCACGCAACCAAGGTCCAGACGCTCCAGGATGAGAACCAGAAGCTCAAGGACGCTATCTTCGAGATCCACAGGGCATCCCTGGGGTGCGACGCCATCACCGACCGTCTCAGCGCTGCGCTCTCCGAGGCCCGGAAGCTAGCTGACATCAGCGATGCGCCCGCTACCGCCGACGGCGACATGGAATCCGACGGTGCTGGGCCAATTGCCTGTTCATTGCCCGCGCAGTCTGCCCAACTCAATCCGTTACTGCCGGCTGCCAACATGCCGGCCAATTTCGAGTGTTCGCCCAATGATGAAGCGCGAGGCGGGAAGCCGAGCCAGCGCCTTGACAACGGCCTCTGGTCCGAGACGGAGCGTTTGGTCCGCATCCTGGAACCATCAACGGACACCATGCAATATTTCGGCGGGGACACGTACACCATGGCGGGCTACATATTCTGGTCGACCTTGGACTACACCGTCGACCTCTGGAACGCTCAGTCCGCCCCGCCGGCCACCAGGCAACTGGACCGCATCTTCAACCCCTCAAGGCCCCTGACCGACCGGAAGTACCTCGTGTCCCTGGCCCAGGCGAGGCTGGACTTCAGGCGCAAGGGGCACATGTTCCGCACGCTGTCAGAGCAGTTTGAGCGGATCGCCATGGCGGACCTGTACAAGCGCGTGCTGCACGACTACGAGACCACGGGCGCGGAACCGCGGTACTGGAAGACGCCCGCGGAGGTGGCTGATAACCTGCTGAGCCAGCTGACGCCGGAAGAGGCCGCGCGGTTCCAGGCCGTGCTCGAGGGTGGGGGCACGCGCGCCGACAAGGAGATGTTGCGCGCCATGTCCGGCTGGTTCGTTCAGAACTTTGTCTGCTTCGGGGACGGCCCGCGATGGAGCAACATCGGCGTCTCCGTCGCCCTCGGGAGCTGGATCGGGGCGCTGCGGATGGGCTCCCCGGGTGGACGGGAAGCGTCCCCGCTTTCGACCGAGACGCCGTCCTGATCACGACCAGCTCGCAAGCTCCTCCTCTACACGGCACGACGCGTCCGGGCCCTTTACAACTGCATCAGCCGGGCGCGCTGGGCTAAAGCACCATGCCACGCGGCATCATAAAATCTCTCGGCATTTCCTGACAACGAATACGGCGAGGCAACGTGGGTGGCGATTCCCCGACACAGACGCCCTCTGCCCGACGACCCGGCCTCCGGAACGTCGTCGTCGACAAGCGCCTCGCAGACCATAAACGCCTGCCTGCCGTCTAGCCACGATTCCTCCGCCAGGGCCCCGTCCCACGGCCGCTCCCAGTCCCCGGCGTAGGAGACGGCCTTGGTCAGTTCAGCGCCCACTTTCTTCTCCCGGAGGAACTCGAACAGCGTGGAGGCGCCGGGGCGGTCGAGCAGCGGCTGCGCCATGGACTCGAGGCCCCCGCACCGCTCCGGCTCGTCTTCTCTCCACCGCGGACCGGAGTATCCGGTGGAAGAACTGTCCAGCTGCCGCCGACACTCGCTTGCGATCTCGAGGAAGACGGTAACGTTGACGACCTAGGGGAAGCTCGTCGCCAGCGCCCCGAGGTGCTCCATCGGCCACGTCCCGTTCCGGTTGACGTCGAGCGTCAGCCTCTCGAGGTTCGGCACCATGAGGCCCAGCTCGGCCAGCTCTCCCGGCGTCATGACCTTCCGCTGCCGATAGTTGCTCTCCGGCTCCCGCCACTCGAGGCTCGTCAGAGACTGCGCATGGCGGCGGAGGATGGGGGGCACGGAGGCGCCCGTCTCGTCGCTCGACTGCCACGTCAGAGACGTCAGCGAGTTCTCCGGCAGGGCCAGGATGAGGTCCCTGGCCCACGGGCCGCCGCCTCTGACGGTCAGCGACCGGAGCGACTTGAGCTGCGAAGCGAGGGCGCGCAGGTCCGGCGATCGGCGCCACATGCCTTTCAGGGAAAGCTCTCTGACGTGCGAAAATTCCATGGCGTCGAGCCAGAGGTCAAGGTTCGTCTTGGCCTTCTGCTCCGGCGACAGCGGTAACCACCGCAGCCAGTCCCGGACTCGACCGGAGCCTAGCCACTTAATAGCGTCCCAGAACCGCGAGCCTGTGGACCAGGGCGGCTGCGACACCTCGGCCCAGGCCGAGTCGTCGAAGTGGTAGCCCTCGAGGTCCAGGGCATCCAGCACCGACGAGTAGCGTGAGGAGCCGGCGAGGTCAAAGGGGAAGCTCCAGCGGTCGGGGTGTTCGGAGCAACCCAGCGCCGTGACGCGGAGCTTCAGGCTCTTGATGTCGGGGCAGCGGGAGAGGGTATCGTGGACGTCGCGCATGGTAGCGAGGAACGGGTCGCCGGGCTCGCGGCGCCCGTAGTGGGTTTCGATGTAGGTCGGACAGCAGGACTCAAGGGCGGAGGCCGAGACGGTACAGAGGAGGAGAGAGAAGACAAGGACGTTTTGGAGGGTCGGATGCATCGTTGCGGTGGTGAATTCTGTTTGGTGTGTCGCGAATCTCGGGTTCGCCAAAGAGTCGCCAGCTATCTGTGAAAGATGGGGCGGTTGTTTGTTTTAGAATAAAGTCGTAATGGTTATAATGCAGATACCGCCGACTTATACATCTGTGGCGGAGAGAGAGAGGCCAACGAAGGAAGACTCTTTTGCGCGCCGAAGCGCGGTCGGACAACCTGGCCGGAATCCTTCTGCGCAATTCATCTTTTATAAGAGATAGAGTAGTTACAAGTCGAGAATCACCATGTCCAATCGCATCGACGTCTGACTCAATCTCGATTCCTTCAATTCTGTTGCGCAAGGCAATGCGACCCTGGACTGTTTTCGGAATGCTTCGGCTCTGGAGCCGCTCATTTAACTTTAAAATCGAACTCTTGTCGGAGCTGCCGGCACATCCGACGACGCCCTCCAGGACGCGGTATACTGTGCGCCGCGACGGATCGTAACCTCAATGTCCTTTTATCTCATATACCTGAGCGCATATCGAGCAATCTGATCAAGTACATAAAACCCACGCCAGAAATACTCTCTCTAGACAACATCCTCCCCCGCGAGACCGGCGATGAAGGTCCTCATCGCGACGATGCCCTTCGCGGGGCACATCCACCCGGCACAGCCCATCGCCCGCGCCCTCGTCCGCCGCGGCCACGCCGTCACCTGGCTCACCTCGGCCTCCCACGAGCACCTCGTCACCCCGACGGGCGCGACGTTTGTCGCCTCGCCGCCAGCCCTCGCGCGCCACGACGAGACGCCGCTCGCGCCGGAGCCTGGCACCTCAGGACTCGCCGCCGTCGTCTCCACCCTCCGCCAGCTCTTCCTGGACCGCGTGCCGGACCAGGTCGCCGCCTACCGCGCCGCCATCGAGGAGTTCGGCGCCGACGTCCTGCTGGTCGACCTGACCGCCTACGGCGCGCACTGCCTGCGCGACCTCGGCGGCCCGCCGTACGCGACCCTCGGCATCAACCCGCTCGTCACGCTCGACGCCGAGGTCCCGCCCTGGGGCACCGGGTGGTCGCCGCCCAAGACGCCCTTCGGCCGCTGGGTCAACGCGCTGGCCCATGCCGCCGCGGGCCGGCTGCTCTACCCGAGGCTCACGGCCGCCCTCAACGAGCAGAGGGCGGCGCTGGACCTGCCGCCGCTGCCGGCGACGGGCTTCTTCGACGCGACGAGGTCGGACGCGCTGCACCTCATGCCCACGACGCCGGCCTTTGAGTTCCCGAGGAAGAACCTGCACCCGGCCGTCACCTTCGTCGGGCCGCTGCTCCCGCTGTTCGGCGGCGGCGACGACGACGAGGAGACCGCCCTGCCCGCGTGGTGGGGTGAGATGCTCGTGCACCCGCGGGACAAGGTCGTTCACGTGACGCAGGGGACGTACGCGACCAACGCGGCGAACCTCATCTCGCCGACGCTGTCGGCCCTCCGGGGCCGCGCGGACCTGCTCGTCATCGCGACGACCCCGGACGCGACGACGGCGTTTCCGGCCGGAACGCTGCCGGAGAACGCGCGGGTGGCGGACTTTGTCCCGCACGCCAAGCTGCTGCCCCACGTCGGCGTCATGGTCACCAACGCGGGCTACAACGGCGTGCTCGCGGCGCTGAGCTGCGGCGTCCCGATGGTGTGCGCGGGCCGCACGGAGGACAAGGCCGACGTCAGCGCGCGGGTCGCGTGGAGCGGGGCCGGCATCGACCTCGGGACCAACACGCCGGGCGAGAAGGCGCTGGGGGCCGCGGTCCAGCGCGTCGTGTCGGACCCCAGGTACCGGAGGGCGGCCGAGAGGATACGCGACGATTTCGCCGGGCACAACGGGCCCGAGGAGGCGGCCGATCACCTGGAGAGGCTTGCGGGGCCGGGCCGCGGATGATGGTGCTGGAGATGAGGGGGCCGAGACGTTCGGAGAAGACGGAGGAGGAGAACCGCCGTTTCCACCTCGAAGCCGAGCGTCGCTGCGACCTCGTGGCGTCGAGGACCGGCGAGGGGATGCTTGGCCATGCGTGTGGGGAAATACGTCACCCTAATCGAATTCACTATTCGCAGTCGGGAGGGGGGGGCTTTGGCAACGTGTGGATATATGCATGTATGTATGCTAGGGGTTTCCATTGTCCAGCGAGGTATCATTTTACTATCAAAATTCTAGACTACTCTATGCTCCCAAAATACTCAAAAAACCCAGATACTCCATGAATGCGCCGACGCAAAGCCATATTTTGTAATGAACGCGGTTGCTCGCTCTTGTGTAGCTGATGGACCACCCAGCTTAGAAGCTCTTGACCTTCTGCATGCTGCCCTCCTCGACGAGAGCCTTGTGCATGTCAAAGGTGTTGAAGAGCAAGTGGGGCTCGTGACCCATGCCCTTGCGGAGGCACTCGAACTCGGCCTTGTCAAAGTAGCGCTCCAGGATGGGCCGGTAGAGGGGGTGAGCGCAGTTCTTGATGATGACGCGAGCGCGCTCGCGGGGGCTCAGGCCGCGGACGTCGGCGAGGCCGTTCTCGGTGACGACAACGTCCAAGTCGTGCTCGGTCTGATCGATGTGGGTGCACATGGGGACGATTGTGCTGACTCCGTGGGGGTCCGTCTTGGAGGGGCGGGTGGAGGGAGTGTGCATGATGCTGTACTTTGCGTTGCGGAGGAAATCGGCGCTGCCGCCGAGGCCGTTGAGCATGCGGGAGCCCAAGACGCAGGTGCTGTTGGCGTGGGCGTAGATGTCGACCTCGACGGGGGTGTTCATGCCGATGACGCCGAGGCGGCGGATGATCTCGGGGGAGTTGGAGACGCCCTGGCTGCGGAGGAGGAGCTTGTTATGATAGCTGTCCCAGTTGTCGTAGAAGCGCTGGAAGCCGTCGGGGGAGAAGCGGACCGAGGTGGCGGTGGCGAAGTCGAGGTGGCCCGAGTCGAAGAGGTCGAGGAAGGTGTCCTGGATGACCTCGGTCCAGACCTTGAGGTTCCAGAAGTTGGAGTCCTTGAGGCCGCCGACGACGGCGTTGGCGATGTTGCCGATGCCGGACTGCAGGGGGAGGAGGCTCTTGGGCAGGCGGCCGTGGGTGACCTCGTGATCGAAGAACTCGATGAGATGGCCGGCGATGGCACGCGAGGCGGCGTCGGCCGGGGTGTTGGGGGCCGTCTGGTCGGGGTAGTCGGACTCGATGATACCGACGACCTTTTCCGTGTCGATGGGGATGGAGGTGCGACCGATGCGGTCCTCAACGCCCATGATGAGGTAGGGCTTGCGGTGCGGGGGCCGGTCGGTCATGGTGATGTCGTGCAGGCCGTCGAAGCTCGGCAGCGAGGTGTTGACCTCGATGATGATCTTGTCGGCCATCTGTACCAGCTCGGGGGTGGCGCCGACGGAGGCGCCAGGGACGATGCTGCCGTCCTCCTTGATTTCGGTGGCCTCGACGACGACGACGTCGAGGTTCTTGTTGGGGCGTTCCTTTGTATAGAAGCCGTAGACGAGGTCGACGGGAAACTGGGACAGATGCCTGTCGTGGAAGTGGATGCGGCCCTCATTGATACCCTTGGAGATGGCCTTGCCAACCTGGTGAGGGCTTCGTCGCTCAATCATGTTGAGGCCAGCCCAACGGTTCTCCGTCTCGGCGCCGGAGGAGGCGCCGACAAACAGGCTGTAGCGCAGCTGGCCCTGGAGGCTGTTCTGCTCGACGTGGTCGGCGAGGAATGTGGGAATCTTCTTGGGGTAGCCGACGCCGGTGAACCCGGACCAGCCGATGTAGGCGCCGTTGGGAAAGTGCTGGAGGAGGTCTTGGGGACGGACGAGTTTGTTCAGCAAAGATGCGCGTTTGACGCGAGACCGTAGGGCGGCCGAAGCGACGGGAGACGCCATTGTGAGAGGATATGAGGTTTTGTTTTTGGTGATGAGAGTCGAGAAGCAAATGTGAAGCAGAGACGACCAGACGACGGCAGGACGGAGAAGAGAGAGAGAGAGAGAGGAGAGGAAGAGGAGGTCGAATCCCGTGGAGACGAAGAGAGGGGAGATGGGGCGATGAGCCTAGCCAAAGGACCGGTCAAGGGGTGGTGGTGGAAGGGCGGGAGGAATTACAACACTGTTGGAGCAGAAAGTGGGTGACGACGAGGTGTATATATACTATCCTGTATACATATAGTGTCAACTATTCATGTCCGGGGAAAGAGGGGAGAACTAAAAACGCCTGCCGCTAGTTGGTTTCCTTTTTCTTCAGGTAAGAGAGATGAGAGGCGACACGAATATCAGATCAGGTCACTTTCATGGAGCCCCTCGGTGGGGAATGACGCAGGACTGGCAGGGGGGGGAAGCTTCTCGTGATATAGCGCGAGCGTTCTTTTTGTGAGGTGCACACGTTCCATCGGTGCATTATGTCAGCACTTGCGCTGATCTGATTGGCTCGACGGAGCAGCGGCTCGGTAACGGTCGGTAACATGCCGTCCCGTAGCCACTGAGTGTGCCTATTTACAGTGTGGAATAAGCATGGCTGGCGAGCGATTGACCAATAATGTGGCTGGAAAGGGACGCCAAAGCACAGGACTCAGAGCTGAGCTCAGGGTTCATTCGGTCACGAGATCTTCAATTTGTTCGTACCTTAGGTTTGTACTCATTTACCTAGGTACCTTTGTTACCTTATTCAAATAACATGTACATTCATCAACATCGACATTACATTGAACCAACATCAACAATTTGCAAAGCCGCCAATGCGAGAATCCGCCCACCAGCTTTTGTTTGCATCCCATATCGTGGACCGCGAAACAGCCCGCCCCCACCGTCCAAGCATCGCATCAGGGGCTCCCCGTGCAACAATAAGCAGGGGGGCCTCAACAAACCAAAACTTCCGTACATGCGAGCCATTCTTTCGGCACAGCTCGGCCGGACGAATCTCGGCTTTGCTTCCTCGATGCCTCTGTCTCTTCTCTTCTTTTCTCAAGCACATTCACTACACTACCATCGCGCGCGCCGGGACCCACTTCTTCCCGGCCCATCTCCGCATGCCTTGGACTAGTTAGTGTCGGTCCATTCACTCAATCCACACAGCTGTTTGGTTTCAGACGATTCGCTGACAATATACCGTCGCACAGGGGCTCGGGAATGGCTTCAAACTCTTCCGAATATCGATCAAATGTTTCTGATACGTCATCTCCCTTTCTACTCCGGAATCTTGGCCTCCTCCGCAGGGACCCCCGCCTTCCATCGGTATGTCGCCGCCACGTGCTGGTCCAGTGGGCCCGTCTGCCCTTTCTTGCGGTAAAAGTTCTCTCTGTACGTGCCGCCGGGAACGGCGTAGTCATCCCAGAACAGACCCCGCCGCCGCAGCTCGGGCAGCAGCAGGTCGATGATGTCCTTGAACGACTGCGGGAAGAGGGCGTACGCCTGCGCTCAAAAGTCAGCCTACGTCATCTCGACACTTTTCGTCCGCCCACGAGAAAGAATGAAGGAGGAGGAAGAAAAAAAGGTGAGAGGGAGAAAGGGAGCGCAGCATCGCCACTTACAAAGTTGAAGCCGTCGACGTCGGCCTCCTTGATCCACACCTCGAGCCCGTCGGCTACCTGTGCCGCCGTCCCGACCAGGACGGGTCCGTTGCCGCCGATGCTAACGTGCTCCGCGATCGTGTGCTTCGTCCATTTGGCCGTGCCTGGAGAGAACCGCGCGTAGCCCTCCACCGTCGACTTGACCGCGTTGCTCTCCACCTGCCGCAGCTCCTCGTCGTCGCCGTACTTGCTCAAGTCCATACCCGTCCACCCGCCAAAGAGCGCCAGCGCGCCCTCGTGCGACGCGTACTGCCGGTAGTCGGCCAGCTTCCGTTGCGCCTCCTCTTCCGTCGCCCCCACCACTGGCGTCACGAGCGCGAGCACCTTGATGTCATCGCCGGAGCGCCCATACTCGGCTTGCGCAAGTGCCCGGATCTCGGCCACGCTCTTGGCGCACACGGCCGGTGCATGCGCCGAGACGAAGATGGCCTCAGCGTGCTGCGCCGCGAACTGCTTGCCCGCCTTGGATGTCCCCGCTTGCAGGAGGAGCGGCGTGCGCTGCGGGCTGGGCTGCACGATGTGCGGGCCCGGCACGCTGAAGAACCGGCCGTTGTGGTTGATCTTGCGGACTAGCTCGGGCTGCGTGTAGACGCCCGACTTGCGGTCGAGCTTGACGGCGTCATCGCGCCACGAGGACTCGAACAGCTTGTACATGACCTTGATGTACTCCTCGGCCTGCGCGTACCTGTCGTCGTGCTGCGCTCGTTAGCAGCTGGACCCGTGGCCCGGTGTGCCGATCGAGGGAAACTCACCTGGGGCTGCTGGGCGAGGCCCATATTCTTCGCCGCCGAATCCAGGTAGCTGGTCACGATCTGCACCATGTTAGCCGTGCCATCATCTACTTCACTCGGTCTTGGTCACCAACATTCCATCCCAAGCTGTAACAATGTCAGTTTAAAGAGCACCGTGGGATGAGGAAGGTGGCGAGGACACCTACCGGCCACCGCTGAGATGGTCGACGGTCGATAACCGTCTCGCCAAGTGGTAAGGCTGCTCATATGTCGTCGAAACCGTCACGCCGAAGCCGATGCTCTTGGTTACCGCGGCCATGGCGGCGATGGGCGCCAATGGCTCGTTGACGGGCCATTGGGCGCCCGAGATCATGGCAGGGTCGAGAGATTGCGAGTACACGTCGTAGCCACCTGTTTGCGCACGTCAGTAATGCCATCGGAGGGTACGTGGAGAGTCTCGGGCAATTATCCTACCGAGAACATCGGCAATGAAAATGCCGTGGAACTTGGCCTCCTCAAGCAGCTTCGCGAGCTCAACCCAGTGACTGATCTCGTTGAAGCGCCATGACTGGTCGTCGGGGTGTCTCCAGAGCCCAGGAGACTGGTGTCCGCTGCCTATATCGCGGCTGTCAGCTGTGGTCTGTCGTCTACTTGGATCGGCGAGAGAAGACGCGGGTTTCTTACACATCTCTACAAAGGCATTGAGCACGAGGCTCTTCTTCGGCTTGGTTTCCGTTGTGTCGGTCATGGCTGCTTTGGTGAGTTCGCTCTGGTAATGCTTGCTTGTATTCTGAATGCACGCTCTACTTTCCTCCTGTAATGTTCTGGGAGAATATGAGGGTTCCGATCACAGCACAAACTCCTAGACAAGAAAAAGATTTTGAGCTGTTCTGTCTCCGGCGGCCGCGGGGTAACGATAGGGCTTGGAGGGGTGCGCGTCGGAACCTGGCATGGCGTGACGCAGTTTGAAGACTTCCCACGGTCTCATCTGGCCTGGCGAGTTACCCCAAGACACCCCCCCACTCCCGATGTTCGGCGTGGGTCCGGTACCGTGGAGCCGGGGTGATGATGCCACCGGACGGCTCGGTGGCGCAAGACGCACGACGACACACGATGGGCAAACTACGGACCCCACGCCAAATGCTGCCAAGTTACCAGGGAAGCTCCTGCATGACCCCCCCTCCGAGTCCCCATCCCTACTTATCTCCAGCTAATGACACCTCGGACTATTAAGCTGCAAAGTTTCACAGTTACCTTGAGAGAAAAGGGACCCCAACGATCCCGGTCGGCAGCTGCGTGGACTGGAGCTCAGAGGTTATCGTGAGGCCATCACGTCATGTTAGCTTCGATGAGATGGCCCGGCCGGAGATTTGCGGGTCTATCTTTGCCGCACGCTGATGGACCAGTACTACCCACCCCTGACAGATCGTGCGATTACTCTGTGAATTAGTGCGGGCACCTATGCCGATGCGATGTTGCGGGTTTGATTCGCCAATTGCAAGCCCGCGCATTGCCGTTGTCCCAGATAACTCTCGCGATAAGCATCTTAGTGACGCTTCATTCTATCAGGGTTTGGCTCTTGAAGGAGGAATGACATTTGATCTAGGTTCAGACCCAGTAAATTAATCCAATCAAACAGGCTGTCTCTACGGCAGAATTAAACACCATTGTCTCGACTATCTGTACCCACCCGCCGAAATCCTTTACCAAATCTCTGCATCTTGGTTACGTTTCCGATGCGAGTGTGTCACCCACGCCTAGTGCTGTTTGGTATCCAACTCGCCGTCCTCGCTTGACAGCACAGTATTGACCTCCCGTACCTCCTCGACGTGCGCCTTCAGCCCGGAGCCGAAGTGCCTCAACACAAGCCACGCGGGTCCAATGGCCACGGCCCACAACGCGAAATTGAAGTAGATACCGCCAACCTCACCGAATATCGTGAGGGACGTCAGCCCGTAGCTGACGGCCTGCCACGCCGATTCCACGCCGCGTAGGAGGGCAGCGTAGCGGATGACTTCCTCTTCGCCCTTGGCCAGGTTCGTGACGATGAAGTATCTTGTTTTCGTTAGCATGGGGGCCTATCAGGTGCAGGTGCAGGCGATGTCTAGGGCTTGCCGGACGGGAGAGAGGGACGTACAAGAAGAGGTAGTTGAGCTGGAACCCGATCGTGAGAAGTATGTAAACGGCGAAGGCGGCGCCGAAGCCTGGGCTAGCCCAATCGTGCGTCGGGCGCGTCTCGCGGAAGCGCGTCGCGAGGATGGTAATCCAGAGCCACCAGGCGCCCTGAGTGACGACGAGGCCCCAGAAGGTAGACCGGGTGCGTATCTTGAGCGAGACCTTGGCACGGTCGAGCCAGTGCTATGGTGGGAGTCAGTCTCTTGTACGGGTTTTCACTCAGTATCTTTCCAGATGTAACTTACGCCGAGGAGATTGCCTGAAATCACGGCAACGATGCCGGACAGGAAGGAGCCCAGGGCCCTGGATCGAACAGAAAACCATGCTGCACAATCGCGCGTCAGTACTGTGCCGCCACAAGAGAGAGCGGGCTCGGCGTGGCTTACTCGCAAGGTAGGTGAAGAAGACGGCCTCCGCGAAGACGGCCTGACCGATCCAGAGGACGATGAGGAGGAACTTTGGCGTGAACAGGCCCCGCGTCGTGGCCTTGATTTCGTGCCACGGGTTCTCGAGGATGGCTAGGCTGACCTTCTGCCCATCCTGCCGCTCGACCTGGTCCGGCTTGTTGAGGAACAAGCCGACGAACGGGCCGGCCGCCTGGATGGCGATGAAGACGATGAAGACGGTGTACGAAACCTTGCCGGCCTGGTCGTTGCTCGCGTTGAGACCGAGGTTGATGGCGCCGCCGAGGATTTGGCCGCACAGGCGGTAGGTGAGCCAGTAGCCCAACGCCTTGCCGCGGTTCCAGGGCTCGGGGTACGCGATGGCGATGGCGGCCTCGGCCATCCAGAACACGCCGGCCGAGATGCCACAGAGGGCGGCGCCGAGGAGCATGAGCCAGTCGATGCCGTAGCGGTTGTTGGTGTACAGGCCGGCGGCGAAGGGGGCGTATCCGATACTGTTGGTGAGAGACATCGCACGTCAGCACACGAACTCAATTCTCAAAACGCGCGCCGCGGGCCGGGTAAGCATGCTCACGTTCCAAAGATCAAGGCGCCCTTGATCCCGATGTAGTGCACGATGGCCGAGGAGAAGTAGCATGACACGACCATGAGGCAGAACGTCAGGGCGTTGGCGGCGTTGACGACCTTGGGCGAGGCGGCACCGCCGGCGCCGAGGGAGTTCATCGCGCCCCAGATGCCGGGCGCCGCGAGGTTGCACAGACCGAGGATGGTCATATTATAGAAAGTCGAGCGGTTCCAGCGCACTTCCCACGCTTCATGTCAGTCTTTTTTTCTTCTTTTTTTGTTTTCGAGGCCGGGGAACGATGCAGTAGCGAACGGGGAGGGCTGACCTGGGTGACGCTCCGACTTGGGAGGGATGGCATGGCCCGCGTGGGCGTCGGCGTATTCTGCCATCTTGACTTGTCTGTTCTGCTGTGTACTTGGAGGACGAAGGGGTTGATGTCGGAGGACAACAGTTTAACTCAAAAAGACACTGGCCGAGTCCTGAACAGCCGGGGCTCCATAACGACAACAGGAACCCTCCGTCTTATGCATCAGACCAGGCAAGATCGCGAACTAGGTATGCAGGGTTTGGGTGCCATCGTCGGGGTTGATGTGCTGCACTCTGCAAGCCCTGGCCTCTGTTAGACGCGATTGATGTGCCATCGACATGTGCCGGAGCCGAAGGTGCAGGGTCCAGACAAACTCTTTTTTTCCCTTTGCCCTCTCTGTTGGAAATCATCCCAGTCCCAGCTCATAGGCTACCCCCAATTGTGCAATACCTCAGTGTTCCCTGTTTGGGGAGGGGGAAGGCTTGGTTGGGTGCGCGGCTCTCTTCGGTGTTGCGAGATCAACCGGGTTCAGCACGCCATTCCGCTGCCGGCGCACGAATGGCCAAGTGTTACTACACACATCCCTCCACCCGTTTTCACCACGAGTACATAATTAGCAAAAACCGAATGGGAAACATGCGAGAGCTAGGAACAGGCGCGGGCGGGCAGGCCGTCTGGGACTGTGAAGTCCGTCACGGCTGGCCCCAAGCAAAACGTGGGACGAACCCATGTGGCTTCGAGTTGGCTCGATGATCTGTAATCATGGGATCCGTAGCCTTCTAGTCAAGACGTTTCCACCGGTAAAGGTCTGGCGCCGACGGCCGGGTCAAAGGGTCTGGGTGAGATACGGCGACGTCTGGGAGGTGACTGAGGCGAGACTAGGTTCATTCAGATATAATTGAGACTAATAGGTGTTGGATTATAAAATTTCTAACACCACATGGTGGGGTCAAGTGTTCATTTGAGGCGATCCAAATGATAGGTTCAATGACAAAGAGGAGATGCTATTGAAAAGGCAAAGGTCCTCAATTAGAGTAGATAAGGTCAATTTCGTCCCCCAATGTCGACGGTCTCTCTCTCTCTCTCTAGATCCAATGCTTCTATTCTCGGGCTACAGCCTCTATGGCACACTCCACCAGCTCTCGTGAACATCCTTGGGATCGACACCGCCAGCCTTCAGATACGGCGTGACATCCGCCTCCGGATCCAATTCCTTCCTCGTGCAGCCCTTGCCAAAGTACCACAGGAAGGGATTTTCCGAGTCCCCGACGTACTCGTACTCAAAGTCCTCCCACCTGGGCTCGCGCTGCACAATCGTCGCCAGCGTCGCCGACCCCGGCCACAGGCCGTGGATCCTCGACCCAGCCTTGCCGCTGTTGTACCACGAGCTGCAGTTCTCCGACAGCACCGTCGTCGCGAAGAAGGCGTCCGAGTACTGCGTGAAGTTGTCAGCCGCCCTCCTCGTGGGCTGGATGGTCTTGATGCCCTCGCGGCCCGCCTTGCGCAGGATCCGCGCAAAGTACGTGATCTGGTTCTCGACGTTGTGCGGGACGGTGCCGGAGCGGCCGCTGCCGTTAGGCCCGTGGATGAAGAGCAGGTTGGGGAAGCCCGGGGTGGCGGAGCCGAAGTAGGTGTAGGGCCCGTCGGGCTGCCAGACCTGCGCGAGGTCCCGGCCCCTGGCCGTGATGGGGAACGGCGGCGCCATGTCGACGTTGGCGCCCGTCGCGCAGAAGATGGCGTCGACCTCGCGGTGCCTGCCGTCTTCCGTCTCGATGCCGGTCTCGGTGAAGCGCCTGATCCGGGTCTGGATGTAGTCCGTCTTCTCCGAGGTGATGGCCTCGAGGTAGCCCGGCCCGGGGGTCAGGCGGCGGCAGTGCGGTGAGAAGTCGGGGATGAGCGCGTCGATGAGCTCGGGCTTCTTGGTGAGGCGGTCGTTCATGAACTTGCGGAACGCCTCCCGCGCCTCGTCGTTCTCGCTCGATCCCTTGAGCCAGCCGCTGAAGTGGCGGAAGTACTTGCTCTCCTGCTCCTTGCGGTACTCGAGATATGCCTCCGGGTCTTTGCGGAACGTCTCTCTCAGGTCCTCCGGGATGGGGATCGGCTCGATCGACGTCTCATCGCCGGCAAAAGACGCCGTGATCCACGTCTTGTTTCTTGCGTAGTGGTCCAGGTGCGAGACGACTTTGTGCAAGTTGGACGTGAGCTGGATGCCGCTGGCGCCGTTGCCAATCACGGCCACCTTCTTGTCTCTGGGGTCGAAGTTGGGATCCCAGTTCGAAGCATGCCTGAGCACGCCCTTGAAGTCCTTGATGCCGGGGTAATCCGGCAGCTTCCAGGCGTTAAAGCGGCCGATGGCCGTCAGGACGAACTCGGCCTCCTCTATCCGGATTGCGTCCGTCTTGAGGTCGCGGATGGTGATCTGCCATATGGATCGTGAATCGACCCAGTTCAGACCCTCGACGCGCTGCGAGAGCTGGAGGTATTTGTAGACGTCATATTTGCGCGCCAGGCCCTGCCAGTAGTCACGAATCTCGGGGCCCTGGGCGAATTCCTCTGTCCACTGGGTGTTTGGATCGAAGGTCGACTGGTAGACGTGAGCCGGTACGTCGCAGCGGACGCCGGGATATATGTTCTCGAACCAAGTTCCGCCCTGTATTCTTGATATTAGTCGTTGGAGATATTTCATATTTCTGGGGGTCAAATCGGAACCTACCACGTCCGCGTTCTTTTCATAAACGGTGAGGTTGATGCCAGGGACCTTTGCTGGAAGGAGAATCCCCGCGAGGACTCCAGAGAGCCCTGCGCCAACGACGGCCACCCGCAGCTCTCGAGGCTCGTCTATGTACCTGTCCACAAGCTTGATTGGGTAGTCGTCGTAAATGGACTTTGGCGGCGTGAGAAGCGAGTCTATAGCCTGGTCGATGCGCGTCTGCTGATCAAGGCCGCGTTTGGTGGGTGTCTCGGGTGCAACGCCGTTGTCACTACTGCTGCTTTTCCCCAGTGCCTCGCTAGTCACCGGTGGTGATACTGTCTCAATGTGGTCACCCATTGTAGAAAGTCCAAACGTTTACGTGTAACTTCAAAAACTAGGTTCCCAAGCCCGATGATTCTCGGATGGCTTCAAACCCAGCTCGACAACAGGCGAGATGGGAAACCTCCATTTTGTCCAACGGCTACTCTTCCTCTCGCAGGACCGGGCATCGGAATCACGTCAGAGACGTGCTCAAATGCGTTACACACCGAAGGAGGGGCCGTCCCGAGCTCTCGAGCTTGGTTCATCCCGGGACCACCTCGTCGGCTGCAAGCATCCTATCAGAGACAAAATACTGTTATCTTGAGCAACAGCTTGACGCTCGAGAAAGCTACTCACCCCACCAGAAGCTTTCCTCCCGATCCCCGCTGCTGATGGTGTGGGTGATCCTACGCTGTGGCTGTTGTTGGAGATGAGGTGCGTGGGATATGGGGAGCACGCCATCTCCCCACTTTCTTGGGGAATACCCAGGGACGCTTAACCCCCAATCCGCAGTTCCGTCTGTCGTCAGATCGTAGCCCCAATATCACATACATTCGGGGCCCGGTTCCCACGAGGAGGGGTTTCAGCTTACCTGCTTTCCTCTTTGAATCTGCAGTATGCTGGCTTGTCTCCAATTCTGCATGGTGATGGAGAGAGGCATGGGTGATGCCAGCCGTTAGCGTCAGCAGGGATGCCCGGGGTTCAAGTGGTCTATCGAAACAAAAAGGCGCGGCACCTTTCCCCTTTACATTTGATTTACTATCACATCAATGAGCCATGAAATGGTGCAATGACTTATCCTCCGTCTTCCTGCATTACTGCAACGTCTTGCAGCGTCCTGCCACTCACGGGCTGGGGTTGGCGACGCCATTTCGCGGTAGCCTCCGATATGTCAACTTCAGGAACGTCAAAGCCAAGTTCCGCTCTCCGGTTTTATACGAGAACCATGCTTAGGCCTATATTCAAGGCTCTGGAGAATTTTCCGTAAGTCTTTTGACATGGGATGGGAAGAATTTGATCGAAAGGTGAGGATAGGAGATTGGTACTAAAACTTGGAGAATCCTTCGACCCTATGCTTTTGGCCATGATGTTGAGCTGCCGTGCACCAAAACTCTTTGATTCCTCTTGCTCTGATTGACTGAGCGACCGATACCCAAGCATCTGTCATGGCGGTTCCTACTCGTAGGCGTTGGTGGCAAATCCAGTGGTTCGCTGACACTGACACCCCGGAAGAGCGCAAGCTCATCAACAAGCTGGATCTCCTCATCGTCCCATACGCGGTGTTGAGTTATTGGGTCAAGTACATCGACCAGTCCAATCTCAACAACGCCTATGTGGCCGGTCTGAAGGAAGACCTTGGATTCAAAGGCAATGAACTTGTCCAGCTCCAGACATTTTACATCATCGGCGCAGTCACGGGGCAGGTGCCAATGATGTTCGTTCTTACTTATGTCCCCGTTCACTGGCTGATTCCTTTCCTGGACATTGCTTGGGGAATCTTCACACTGCTCCAGTTTCGAGTTACCGGGTTCGCTGAGCTTGCTGCATACCGTTTCCTCGTTGGGTGGTTCGAGGCTGCCTTTTTCCCGGTTATGCACTATCTGTTTGGTAAGTCGACCGAAGGATAGAGCCTGTATTCTCACCGCCTGCTAACATGAACAGGCTCCTGGTATCGGGGCGATGAGATCGCACGGCGCGGCGGACTATTTTATGTCGGACTTTCTTTGGGCACGCTCACTGCCGGTCTCATCCAGGCTGGCGCATCATCTCGGCTTGAGGGCGTAAACGGCCTTGCAGGATGGAGGTGGATGTACATCATCTGCTCTCTCATCACGATTCCAATCGGTATCCTGGGTTTCTTCGTCATCCCAGGTACCCCTGAGCAACCCAACCGAATGGTTTTGAGTATAGAAAACATCGAGTTGAGCGTCGAAAGGCTGAAGCGCGCTGGTCACGCATCACATGGCAAATTCAAGTTCGGTGCTTTGAAGAAGATTTTCTTGTCACCACAATTTTGGGGCATTGTTCTCGTCGATGTCTTTTTCTGGAACGCCGGTATTCACACATCGTCCGGAAGCTTCCTACTGTGGATCAAGAGTCTTGGACGATACTCTGCAGCAAAGGTCAACGAGCTCGGCACGATTGCGCCTGCCCTAGGCATCTTCTATACTTTGTTCGTCTGCTTCGCCTCGGATCTCGTTCTTGGCCCCGCATGGGCCATCACGCTTTCACATACATGGAACATACTCGGATTGATTATCCTCGTCATCTGGGACGTTCCCGAACCTGCTAAATGGTTTGCCTTTTCAACCATCTACTCATCATACGCCATGTCGAGCGTCTTTCACGGATGGGTGAATACCCAATTGCGATCGTCTCCGGCGGAGCGCTCCTTCACTCTGGTTCTTATCAATGCCATTTCCCAGTCTTCTACGGCATGGACTCCTCTCTTAGTGTTTCCCACCGTGGAAGCACCTCGATATCCCAAGGGTTTTGCGTTCACTCTTGGTTCTTCGATTCTCCTACTTATCTCAACTCACATTCTCCGTGTTTACGTCAAACGAAGAGAGTAAGTGGCTTTTGCATCATAATCCAAACAAAGGTCCTAACAAGATCACTAAACGTAGTTCAGTCCACAAGTAGAAAACACGACTGGTTTCGCTGAGAGTGATCCAGAAGACCACGCCACTGTTGACGATGGCAAACGAACACCAGTAACGGTGAACGACAGGAATAATCGGAGCGACTAAGGCTCAGTCTTGGAATTTTGACTGAGGCTTATTGCATGTCAGCGTGGGGTTAGGGCATCATTCAAGGCTATGACGCATATCCTTGAGAGATGTACAAAGCAAAAGCGTTGTTGACAAAGTGTAACTCTTGTAATAGCTGGCAATTGGCTGAGGAACTCTCAGTGTTAATCATTGAATCTGGATAAGAAGCAGAGTTGCTCCTAATGATCGATGGCTTTCATCGTGCAACATAAACAACACTCGGCCACTAACTACTCATTGTTACCACCAGTAAACATATCGCATACCTTAAAACTGCCTCAAAATACATGACTGTCATGATGCTGATTCTGCCGAATTTTGGCCCTGCCATTTCAAGTTTGGTGTCGATCAAGCGGCCACGCGGTGCAACTGAGCTAGCCTCAGTATAACGGCAGATGAACTAGATTCTCCGTGCCAGTTTTAATCCCAATATAATATACAGAATACGTAGTCAATCAGTGTCGATCTAGCGACCCCGACTCCTGAGAGCACTGTGCCTGTGGCTTATAGTTCCTTCATCCATAATCGTGAACGGCAAAATCTAGACTAAACCGATAAGGCATGAATAACAGTGGCTGGTTATGTACTGCACAATCCAGTAGCGTGTATTTTATAGAAACGTTTTCTCACTGCATCAGCATCTGCAAGCAGGTTTTCTACCTGCTGTGGAAACGCTCCTCTTTTTGGTCCACCACGTACACTGTCGACGAAATAAGCATGAGGCCGAGAGCCAATGACAAGTGTTATCGGATCCGAGGAATCTTCATTGCTCGTCAAATATCGAGATAGCCGGCCGGCGCTGAGCCCCGAAACTCGACTCTATCGTCCGGAATGGGGAAACAAAGGATGGCACCATCGACGACCGCGATGACGCCAACTCCTGTCCTGCATCGGAGACGTTGAATTGGGGTCGACGTGCAGATAATATCCCACGCTAGTCCCGCACCACGGGCGGCAATGGTGATGACGACATGAGGACTGGCACCATTCTCGTCGCATGTCTGCGCCAAGTTGAAGAGATTCAGGATGTTTCGTGGGTTGATAAAAGAACGTGAGGGCCACACCATTGAGATAGAGTTAGGAGGCAAGACTCAAGGATAATCTTACTCAGCCATACACAACATGACTTCGGTACCCATTCACAGCTCTACCGATGGCGGGGATGGCAGCAGTTCAAGCAGGAAGAAGCAGATTCTGCTGAACGCTTTTGACATGTCCACCGTCGGGCACCTTTCTCCAGGACAGTGGAAGGTTTGTAGCCCATGCGCATATTGATCCAGATATGGTCTTGTTGCTGATCAGGCACATTCCAGAACCCTGTCGATAAATCAGCAACCAAGAGAGACCTCGACTACTGGATTAATCTCGCAAAGTTGTTGGAAAGGGGCGGTATCAATGCCCTTTTCCTAGCCGACACGTACGGAGGTTACGATACATACGAAGGCAGTCTTGACAACTGCATTCGTCGCGCGGCACAATGGCCAATGACCGATCCTACGATTGTATGGAAGTTCTTTGTCTTGAGAAGAACAATAGCTAACTGAGACACAGCCAATCAGTGCCATGGCTGCAGTGACCAAGAACCTCTCGTTCGCCATCACTGCGTCCACCTCCTTCGAGCCACCATTTTTGCTTGCCAAGCGCCTGTCGAGCCTAGATCATTTCACAAGGGGTCGTATTGGTTGGAACATTGTCACTTCCTGGAAGAAGGCTGCTTTCAAGGCCATCGGTCTTGACAGCCCGATCCCTCACGATGAGCGATATGCACAGGCGGATGAGTATTTGAGAGTGCTATATAAGTAAGCCCGCCGTTGATAAGCCCAAAATACGTCCCCTAACGAAAGGGGTTCTAACCAAATCACCTAGGCTTTGGGAAGGCTCATGGGCGGATGACGCAATTACGCCTGATCCCCAAAACGACAGCTATGCCGACCCTGATAAGATCCGAACGATTCATCATCACGGGAAGTTCTTCGATCTTGACACACGCCACATCGTCGACCCCTCCCCTCAGAGAACCCCCTTCCTGTTCCAGGCAGGCACGTCAACAGCTGGCTCCGAATTTGCTGCTACCCATGCTGAGGGCATCTTTGTTTCCTCTCATTCTCCTCAGCTCCTGAGGCCTAAGATCAAGCAAATTAGAGAGAAGGCGGCAGCACTTGGCCGAGACCCTCAATCGTTGAAGTTTTTTGCAACCTTCACTCCTATTATCGGTCGAACAGACGAAGGGGCCCGGGCCAAGCACGAGGAGCTCAAGAAGTACGCCTCCGTGATAGGTGGATTGGTCCTTGTGAGTGGCTGGACGGGCATTGATCTCTCCAAGATCCCTGTGGATCAGGAGGTCACTGCTGCCGATTCGTTGGAGGCGCATAAGGTTCGCAGCATTCTCGATTCTTTCACTACTACGAGCGAGCACGTACCTAAATGGACACCCCGTGTTATCGCCGAGCGGGCGGCGATTGGAGGCCTCGGCCCCGTATCTGTTGGAAGTCCGGAGAAGGTGGCAGACGAGCTGGAGTACTGGGTTCGGGAGGGTGATCTCGATGGATTCAATCTAGGATATGTGACGACCCCTGGTACCTTTGAAGATGTTGTTGATCTTCTCATCCCTGAGCTTCGGCGTCGTGGGATTTACCCAGAGGCGCCCGCAGAGGATGTGCGGCTGACGGCCAGAGAAAAGGTCTATGGTGAGGGACAGAAGGGGTTGAGAGCTGATCACCCAGGTTCTACCTACAAGTATGATGTCTACAGGGAGGAAAGCACAGAGCCAGAAAAGCACGCTCCAAGCCACTTGTCGTAGTACATAAGGCGTTAATTGCTGCTTGCGATTAACGGCGTCGTTTTTGCGACACCACTGAAGCGCAGCGTTGGGTTTCACTTTCCTTCGTCCTGAAGGTTATCTCTCGATTACATGATGGAAGCTCATATTGCTGCAAGTATTTCTTCTAATAAGATAGCATGAATCAGCTTCCTCATGGACCAATATTTGCGATGCAATGAGATACCACTGGCTGGGACGACTGCAGAGACGTTTGTGAGACTGTAAGTGATGTCTTCGTAACACAGAGAAACAACCAAAAGAGATACGGTTTAGAAGGACATAAGAGACACCGAGTTGGTGTCAGATGAATACAACTGTGCCAAACCCGATCCTCGTCTTACAAAAATCTTGCTATGCACCACTACGACGTGTGTGTGTGTGTGTGTGTTATATTTAACGCCGGGACGTTCCTATAAAGGACAAAAGGCGCCTGGGGCAACTAGCTCTAGGGTAACAATACAAATCTCTAAGTCCATAAGCCTCTTATAACCTAAAAACCCCGGCCGGTCTGTATTACTATCTATCTAGCCAGCCTCCCAGGAGGTCAAACTGTAATTCTTTATTACTGTTAAGTGTCTGCAGGCTTTTTAGCGGCTAGGTTTAGTGTAGTAACCCTTAGTAGTCCTCCTTTTAGGGGGTCTCCTAGGGGCTCCTATGTGCCTTATTATATAGTGCTACTTATATATCTATATTAGCTAGAGGTATCCCCCCTATGTTATACAGGTTAGGGATACTTATCTTATAGTGTAGGGCGTCCTATTCTTATTACTTACGTAACGTAAGTTCTAGAAGAGATAAGAAGAGGTGGAAAAAGCAAAGGGAGGGAAGTTATTAGTAAGGGGGAGGGGGGAGGGTTAGGGGAGTAAGGGGGGGAAAAGCTAGGTAGATAGATAGCGTCCTTATAGATACTACTTATCTCCTAAAGACTTTAGCACTTAGTAACCCTAACGTAGTTAAAGTTAGCTATTATTAGTAGCTACTTTTTATAGTAAGGTGTAAAATAAATACTAGTTAGCTACTTATAATAAAGCTTAGCGTATTATCCTTAGTCCCTATCTATTTAATAAACGCCTATAATAAGGGCTTTTATCTTTATATATCTAGAGGTAGGCTATAGGCTGTTAGTATTATTAGGTAATAAAATAGGTATATATTAATACCTTAGGTATACCTTATTAAAAAAGTTATTATAAATAATATATTAAATAAACTAGTTATAATCTTTTAATAGTTAGGCTATTATATACTTCCTCTAGTCCTCTAGGGGGAAGTTATCTCTCCCTCTTATTTATTAGCACTATAGAGGGTGTACTAGCGTCTTCTTACTACTATATATATAGGTAATTTCTACCTTATTATAGCTAAACTATAGGTAGTATACTATAAAATTACTATGTCCTGTCTTTATAGCTACTAGCTAGTAAAGTTTAGTGTAAGTAAGGTAATATATTTCCTTTATTAGTTCTAGAAGTGCTTTAAGCTATAGCAGCTAATATACTATTAGGTAATTTATATCCTACTAGTCTATAAATACCTTCTTTCTCTATGCCTTTAGTAACTACTTAATATAGCTATAGGTAGCTAGGTGTATATAGAGGTTAGCTAGGCGTATCTTTACTTTATTTTTTACTAGCCTATTAGCTATCTTATTACTATTAATTATGTTATATCTAGGTACTTACTATATATTAATAAGCACTATACTCTTTTTTACTATCCTTATAAAGTTAAAGATAGCTTCTTATAAGGACGTTATAAGGGCACTATCTAACCTAAAGATAACTACTAAGTTATCTAGATAAACTATAATACTTATAACGTCCCCTAAGTCCTTACTATATTATATTACTTTCCTAAGTGTCACAGGACAAGGTGGCAAGTGCCTGTAGTTAGGAGACAGATAGATAGCAGGGACTAGATACCCGACACACACGTGATACGTCACGTGTGCCCTGGGTATATATCCCTTTAGTAGGTGACCCTTTACAGAAGGAGGGTCAACTATAAATACACCTACTATCTGTTACCTATCTTGTCCTATGTCATTTGTTCAGCTCCTTGTTATTGTTCGTCTTGCTTTACTGCTCTGCTGTTACGCTTCGCCTTTACACTGCGTCACTTCACGACACTACCGCAGCCTAGCTTCATCCTGTCAGAACCGCAACAGCTGCCAGGAAGGCTGTGTCACTAAGTCTATATTAGGCCCCCTTAGCCTCTATATTATAGACCTTGCCCTTTAGTAAGCGTTATTAACCTATAAGTACTAGGTCCTGTCCTTTAAAGACAGTATAACTATATCCTATCTCTATACGCTTTACCTATAAGCTATTTAAGTAGACTATTATATATATTAGTAGGATATTTACCTCCTAGACCTAGTAGTCCTTTAATACTTACTGCTTCCCTTATCTTTTTACCTTATATACTAACTATATATTATATAATTAGTTTTAAAGCTTAGGTCTTAGGAAAGTTAGTACGCTATTTACTACGTCTATAAGGATAGTTAGGTAGACCTTACCCCTTTTCTAATTTATTCTAAGGTAAGTAGCTATTTATATTACTAGTAGGTAGTTATTATCTAGAGTGCCTAGCTATAATTTATACTATTACTATACTATATTAAGTAAGAGCTTAGCTAGGGGGGTACTAGCCTTTTAGGCTAGTGCTATTACTAGTGTAGTCTGCTATACTAGTAAGTAGCCTTTAATAGCCCTATTAACTGCCTTTTATATTTTATTAATAAGGCTAGTTAGCTTATAAGTAACCTTTATAAGGCAGCTATCTAGAAACCTATATCCTTACTACTCCCTTCCTAAGTACTATATCTTAGCTATATAAAGTGCTTTTAGTATAATAATTATATATACTACTTTTCTTATACTTAGTAAGGGTACTCCTTTATAGACCTTATTTAGTCCTCTAATATATCTTACTATAGCCTAGGCTATTACTACCTATATCTTAATATATATCCTAAAACTAAGCTTCTTATTAAGAAACACCCCTAACTACTATATAAAGTCCTAAGGAAAAACCTTATAGTCTTTATACTAAATAAAGAGGTTCTTAGTAGCCCTATATTAAGTAAAGTATAACACTTTTATCTTAGCTATATTAAATAGTATACTATTCTTATATCTCTAGGTAGTAACCTTATTAAGAAGGTTTTATACTACCTACCTGCTCTCTTACTTTATCTTACCTATATATAGGATCCTATAGTTATTTATATAGCTAAACTAAGAGCTTTTCTCTTTAAACCTATATAGTAGCTCTATATAGTAAAGGTATAGTATTAGTAATACTAAAGACCCCTAAAGGAGGCTATAGTAAAGGGGTTATACTAGTAATATATAGTCCTTAAACTACACCTAAGCCTACTATCTTATTATAAAGGCCCTTACTTAGTTAACTACGTTATTTAGCTATCCTTACTCTCTTAAGGCTTAAGCTAGCTAGCTACTATTTACTATATTAAAAGCACCTTAGATATTTATTATAACTAAGGTATAGTGTTAGTATTAGCTAAGCGCTACCTTAATATTATATATTAAAGTAGCTACTATATCTATTACTAATCTCTTAAGTAAGGCTCCTGCTACCTAGAGGTATAGGACTTTATACTTTATATAGTAATAAGCTATACACTATGTAATTAGCCTCTTAAGTCTCTTCCCTACTATAGAGAGTAGTAAAATTAGGCGCTAGCCCTTAGGCTAGCTAGTGTCTCTATTTAGCTTAGAGATTATAACTATCTTAGTGTCCCTAAATAGTAAAAAGTAGTACCTAAGTTCTAGGTATACCTAGAATAGCTTCCTAACGTACTTACTTATTACTAGCTATACTATTTATAGTATAATAATAGTAATTCTATTTATACTTAGGGTAGTGTTACTAGCGCTAAGTAAAGTAAATCTTACCTCTTTTAAGTAGATATAGTTATCTTATTTTATCCTCCTCTATAGGACTATAGGTATATATAAGCTAATATTTATATTAGCCCTAAAGCGCTATAGTAGCTTCTTTTTAAGTAAAGCAGCCTTCTTAGCTAGTATAGTAACTACTAAGTTACTATCTTATAGAGGGGGTAGTTATAGCTATAATAAGGGCTTATACTAGCCTATTACCTTATATAGGTCCTTATTAGTAGCTATCTTATTAATTTAATCTATCTAGTATACTGCCTTAACTTTATAGGCCGCCCTCTAAAGCTCTTTAGCTTCCTCCTTAGTGTCCCCTCCTCCTCTATAGGCTTCTTAGTAAGCCCTCCTAGCTTTTCTATAGTCCTCTATCTACTATATAACTAACCTACCTTTAACTAGTTAGGTGCCTGCTATAGTAGTAGCACCTTAAAGGACGTTTGTTAGCGTTAGTGTAGCTTAGTCTAGCTCTTTTAGTGTCTTTATCCCCTCTAGTAGCACCTAGGCTGTCTGCTCTACCTCCTCTTTATATTACTATATTTTCTTTAGAGTATTAATCCTTATCTATATCTCCTTTAGTAAGGCGCTTATAGTTATAAGGATAGTTATAACTAAGGTTAAGTAATTAGATCTTATATATAAGTAGTTAGTAATATTTATTATAGCTAGGGAGATATCTAAAAAAACTAAATTAAGGGTGTTACCTTTATTATATATAGTAATCCCTAGTAAGCTAATAAAGGCTAGTAGATAACTATCTAACTATTTTACTAGTTAGGTAGCCTCTTAATTTAGGGTACTACCTAGCTGCTATATTAGGTATCTTATATTAAAGTCCCTTACTACTAAAACGTTTATTAGTGCTTCTTATAATTCTAAAGTATCTAGGACCTATATTATCTTTAGCTCTTAGTAAACGTTAAGGTAGTACTAGCCTTTTATAATCCCTAGCGTATTATATATAGGCGTTATAGTAATATTAAAAGTAGTAATATTACTATATATTTTCTTTATATATATAAGGACTTTAGGTTATATATCTATAGTCTCCTACCT